ATTAAATTGAATAGTTAGAATGATTCACCTCAAATTTCATCGGGGATTTCAGTAGCAGTTTTATTCTACAGTCTGAATCTATTATAATAAATTGTTGCATTTTATCTTAATCTTTCCAAATTGGAGTAATATGCAAACATTATTTTATCAGTTGGTGGGAGAGGACTTTGCCTGAAGGCACCAGTCAGAGTGTTATTTATTTACACTGTGAGCATCTGATGGTGCGAATTCGTTTCGTGAGGTTTCTCAGAAATTTTCCAAAATTTTGTTCGCCATCATTATACTTTGCAAATATAATTTATCCCATTTCAAGTTCAATCGACGATTCGTACAAATAAAATCTGTCCTCAGAAATAGAAAAAAATTGTAGGTTTCTAGAGAGGAATGAAGTATCTTAAATAAAAACAGTCAATAATTTATAGAATCCTAACAGCTTTCCCACTGAGATGGGAAAATGGAAATGATAAAATTCAATGGGAATCTTTGTCATTTAAGAAGATCTCCTCGGTTACTCATTGTTCAATTGATAATGATTCTCATTGGCTTATTACCTCCAAAGAGAGCTATCACCTCTTCCTGTTATCAAAACCATTTCAAGGGGCAATGCATTTCCATGGATTGGTTAAAGAACTTTATCTTATAGTAGCACAAACATTTTAAAATACACAACCTCGCACAAACCGAGGAACAATACGAATTCTTACAGTACCTTTGGCGGCTCGCTCCGTAATAACCCCGAATCCGATGTGAAATACAGTATTCCTAAAAGCCATATCACTATCAAAGCAACGGCAAAAACTCTCCTTTTTCTGATAATCATGATAAAATCGGAGCAAAATTGTGTTCTGTATGCTATTTACATTGTATTAAGACATGCATGTTGGCAGAATTAGCTTAGTAACCACGTAGGGCAAAGTCACGCAACTTGAGCGGTTACTTTGACTGCTGTTTGGATGGAGACGGCGCTGAGACTGGATCGCAATGCGTGCAAAGTGCATGGCCTAAACCTTGAGAAAGTCGATTTTTGTGTAAATGCTGTGATTCAGAGTCATTCATTAAGCTTGTAACGTGTAAGAATAAGAGCACAAAAAGCTTACTCGTCTGGTTTTCTCGTTTGGTCTCACCATGGATCAAAATACGAACCATGGCTCGTATGCTGCCGAATCGTGCCAAAAAAGTTCGATGGCATGAAAATTGCAATTTAATTTTGAGGCACTTGATTAGTGCATACTCGTTGAAGGCCCGAAGAAATAAGCGATTCACAGCATTATTGTGCTGACTTTCGAAGGAACATATAAATAAAACGGGACTCAAAAGTGATCCACGAGAAACTTATCACGATTCAGTATTCTTGTAAATTTAAGTAGTGAAAAGAGTGTTCTCAGAATTTCTACATTGAGTTTGAAACAGTAGAGTTTGTGGTAAACGTAATTTACAACAATTTTTTTGTTTGTTGATAAACAGTCAATGTATAATTGAGTGTTGGGAGCCCAATCATTTTACCACAATCTGGGGTTGGTCCAGAAAACGCACGCTACTTTCTGCATTAATCAGAACTGCCATCCGTGGCTGCTTTGTCGCGCCTCAGATAACTTGTGTGTTATTGATGTGTTCAGAAGTGGCGGTAACACAGGTTATTGAATGATAACAGCAGCCTGCCTGCTTCCTTTTTGCTTCGGTATATCTAAGTCTTAAACGTTTGAGAACCTAAAACGTTTCAGTAAAAATTCTTCCAGCGACACTTCTTATCGTAATCAAAATGAATAGACAGCTAGATAGAGAGATATTTTTATATCATAATGGTCTCCCTATCCGAATTAACAAAGTGAAAACTGTTATATATTAAGACCCTACATCTAATGATACAAGTATCTACGAATAACTAAAAAAACATAGTACAAAAAGCCGCCGGAGAAAAACAGAAAACTTTTGAAATACTGAAGGCGAGAAGACGCACAGTTTTCTAAAGGTGTATGGTTTTCATTTTTGCTTGCTAGTTTTTTTCAGAAAAACGAAGCAGAATTCCCACCATTTTCCCTGAGAAATCAATGACCTCAACTGTTTGCAAAAGTTGCTGGGAACTTCCAACACCTTTAAAAATGATCCTGAAAGAGTAACTGTGACTAGAACATTTTTTAACATTCGGCTTGGTAATAACGATTCATTTCGTACGGTATTGGAAATTTTACTAATCATATTTTCCAAAGAAATAAACGATTCCATTAAGAATTGCACCCTGCTGCAATAAAGCTTTGCCAAAGCTCATACTTCTTAAATATTTCGAAGGCTATTAATGTTTATTAACGGTCCTTACTGCTCAATAAGGAGATCAATCTTCATTTCATTTGAGTGCCTCGGTTTTCTTCTTCTTTTTGTTATAATTGTACGGAATCTATTGAACTAACCTGAACGTATTAAAATTCAACCGGAATTAGTATTTTGTTTTCGAACCTGTTTAGGTTTACTTGCATCTCGTACACCCTTTTAAAAGGCTGCTGTTGCATTAGATAGTTTGGTTTTATCTGTGACGATTCGAGCGTAAGATTCACCCTTAGAATAGTTAACTTCATGAGAAATTCTTCACGGTCGATCAATTGACTTCAAGTCAAATTACTGAAATATGATTAGTGAAATTTCCAAGTCAAAATGTGTTTTTATCAACTGAGTTGATAAAGTTTATCAACTCAGTTGATAAAAACACATTTTCTTCTGATATTCTCCACCGACGCAGCACCGCAGTTTCTGTAGGAAGTTACCCCCTTTAGTCAGGTGTTGCATTGGAGGACTGTTGGTCAAACAAATAATTGAATGATGGCTCATGTTTATTTTAGAATCAAAATGTGCAAGCTAAAAATCAGCGTGGATGATTTGGAATCGGGAATCGCTTTAAATTATATACGCGTGGGAGAACTTATTTAATTGCAATCATTTATATATTAGCTTCTGGTATAGTTTTTGTGCGAAAGGAAATGACAAACTTAATGTCTAAACTTTTCCGCAGATACTTTAATTGAAAAGCTAGGGAATTAGTTTTCAGTTTTTGGCTCTTCTGATCCAATACTAGTCTTACGCTACCTCTTTCTGGAATTTGTAGAATTACCAGCTGTTTTAATACCATGATCAGGTATCTTTTGCAACTCATACGGAAACCACGACAAGGCAATGGTTTTAAAAAAACGGAGTTACTGTTACCGACGAAATGGGATTAAGGTAAGGGGAAGGGGTGGGGCTTAAACTCTCCGATAGTGAGCCGATCTCGAAGTGAAGGAAAAAAAAGCGTCATTTACAGTATAGCACCTAAATTCGAATTAAGTGAGATACAATTTCAGGACTCCCATGTCTAAAGTTCTCTTGGTCTTAAGGCCTTCTATAGCAATATGGAGCTTTTTCTGGTATGATCTCAGCAATAACATTTTCCCTTTTGTCTGGATCTTCCGTTGATCAGTCAACGTGAATTTCACTTTCTTTTGGAAAGTAAAACTGGTAAGATGGCGTTATTTTTACCCCTTGTTGCAGCAATGTAAATGGATAGGAATTGTTCTTCTCTGCCTTGAGGCCATTAGGATAGAACAGTGTTGTCAGCTTGTAGCCAAAGTTCTCTGTGTAGAATGCAGCACTGTATATTCCTTCGTCCAAACCCTCTATGGCTTCCCTCAAAAGTGAACAAAGGAATGGTAATCGAGAGATTGGCGATAGTGGCAGGCATACATTAGTTGTCACTCTTTTTGCCGTCTGAGTGTGATGCATTACTTATATTTTTCATCAAGGATCTATTCTCTCTCTCCCATGATCAAACCTCAATATGGAAATGAAAATAAGATACCGCTATGATCGCTTCAGGTAGGTGTTGTTGTTGCGGTTGTTGACTTCGGATCGATGTAATGCGTTCTTAGGGACATGTCATTATTTATCGCCGGCGGGAGGGGGTCAGCGGATATCCAGGGGACCGCATGGTTTTAGGGGGACCGGAGGGGGGGTTAGTCGTTGTCATCAGAGTTTAGAGGGGAACTGAATAAAACCAAATGCTAATGCGGGGGAGGTGGGGTGGAGGTGGGAATTACAATACTTCAGAACTGTTACGAGTTCGATGTTTTGGTTATGGCGACTTTACTAAGGACTCTCGGAAAAAAAACAATCTTAACATTAAAATACATCCTGACGTCCAACAACACGAGTCACAATGAACTCAGGGACATAGAAAGTTCAGCATGTTTCAACACGGTCAGACATAGTAAGTAACAAACCTGAAAACTATGCACAAAACAAAAGGGACCTGATCAATAAAATAACCAAACTACAGCTGATGGATTACAAATATTTCGTTGAAAATAACACGAATAATATCTACCTACGCCCAACAAATAAAATTCAAACTAATAACAATGAGTGCGAATGTTCCAGAAGTACAAACACAACATAACGCAAATGAGAAGACACGGCACAATTTTATCTTAACAAGAGGTTTATTGAGGGATCAGGAAAATTTTATTGCGACATAAGCAAAATCCTGCGAAACCTCTATGCGAAAAATAATGACCGGTACCTCCCTCCTTAAACCCTTCACTGCTACAGGGACGTACTGAGTACGTTCTAAAACATTGTGTACTTGTATGAATATTTCCGCACATTGATCAAAACTTGCTAAACTCAAATTTTTCTTTAATTGGTTCAGAAGTTTCTTCTATAAAAACATTTAAGTGGACTTGTTTAGAGTGTAAATATTTACTCTAAACACTTGATTATAATTAATCCATAGCATTTTGAACAAACCCCAAACTCATGAATATTGCTCACAAGAAGAGCCGAGGGAGGTCTGATTCTATCCATTGGAGAATCTTTCACGAGTCCATTAGCAGGCACTACGAATGATATTCTTAGATGAATTCCTGATATAATCATAAGATCTAAAGCGTAGAAAAGGGAAGGGGCGTGGGGTATAGAGGGAGGGGGGGTGGGGACGAGACTACACACTGAAATCATATTGTTATCCCTTAAGCACCCTAACAGTACCAGGTCGCCGACGGCATAAAACTATTCAGTTCATTTGATGGGGTAGAACATTGCGAAGGAGGGACGACTTCCAATTGAAGGAAAAGAGTGTCATCCACAACGTAGCATCTTGTTTCGAGTTTCTCTTGGGACATAAATATAATTCCCCTATATGCAGGTATCCTTTCTTTGCCAGGCCTTACAGAGATATTTAAATCACCGTGTGGAACTAACTCACGGGAATAGTTTTCACGTTCCTTTGGGTTTTCCTGCTGATCAAGAAGTGTCAATTTCGCTTTCCTTCTGAAAGGCCAATGTAATATGGCGTCATATTCACCCTTCACTAAAGAAACAAAAACTGATATGGAATTGCCCTTGCCAAGGCCTAAGCCATTAGGATAGAGTGTTATTACCAGCTTATAGCCATAATGTTCTGTGTAGAACGGAGCACTGGTTTTCCCTTCGTTCACACCGGCCTTGGCCTCTCTCTTGAGTTTACTAAAGTTATCAATCTTCCAAATAAACATCGAAGGATAATCAGGAGATTCACTTTTCACCATCACTGTTTTCTCGTTTACTTCATTCTTTAAACTCTTCATTGTTTCTTCTGTTTCACTTAACTTAACACAAGCCAAATCAAGATGGATTTTTGAAGCAGATTGAAGGTGACTGTCTACTTCCTGACGACAAACCTGGAAGAAAATTTGTTATTGAGAAATAACAGGCTTAAAGCTTTGTAAAAGTATTTATCGAACGTGAAATACAACACTGTCGAACAAAACAAGGAAAAGAAAGGTAATGGAATTCCAATAAACACTGACTCCTTACCACAACATTCGTCACTCAACATAAACATGATATCAAGAGAGAATATTATCCTCTCTTGATAATCCATAATGGAAAATGAATTGATGAAAATGGGAGGGGATGGATTTTAATATTTATTAAGAGGATTTTGTCTTGGTAACTATATATTAACATATTTGCTATGGACTTGGTGAAAATCGGCCAATAGATATGAGAAATTAAATGACAAATGAGGTGTGATTTACCAATTGATATGGGCTGCGAGATAATTCAAGCCTATAAGTCGAAAAGAGAAGTATAGTAAACCTATTATCATTTATCATTCTATTTTCTTATTTCTGCTTTCCTGTCAAGTTTCAATTATAGTGGAAACAGTGAATAATCGAAGGAAAGTCCGCTATGTTTGAGGACTGGCCCCCAGCAGCGTCATTTACATATGTGTCGTATAATATTAACGTCATCTTGTAGAAGACATAACAGGCTCCTTTTTTAAAACGTAAAAACTTTTCAAAACATCGCAACGTGATGGGGGAGGAAGGATTCCAACCACGCTCCCCTTCCTTCACCACGGGGTACGATTTTGCATGGACGTCCGAGTCATTATTGTTGGAAATTTCAGTCTCAGGGTTTTCGATTGGCAAACAACTAGTGCATTGAAAAATTCAGCTTGTTACACCTTGCAACTTGACATTAACCATGGTAACTTATTAACTCGTCTGGTCGATAGCCCCACTCGGGAAGAGAACATCTTGGAATTTTGTGCATGCGTCTTCTCCAGACACTGTAAACAACCTGATCGTCAGGGAGCCTTTCTCCGACCACAATATTTTAACATTTTCTTTTCAGACCTCCCCTTGTGAATGCCGCAAGTCCAACAAGTTAATTTATCTTAATTTCAAAGCAAACTGTTCTTCTCTACGTGAATTACTGTAGTATGTATCTTTTCACTGCACGTTCTTAGTAGATGATATCTATAGTAACTGGACGGCATGGTCTGACTTATCATTCACAGCAATAGAGGGGTGTATCCCGATCAGCTATCCGAGCATAAACTAATAAATGGAATCTGCACTTCAATCTCGACAAATGCAAGGTAATGCGAATAACGCACACACAGGACAAGTCATTACCAACTTACTACAAGTCTTAGAAACAGACACTACTTGCGACCTAGGTGTTGTAATCGCTTCGGACCTGTCAGGGAGCAAAGATGTTTTAACGTGCGGTAGTAAACAGGTGAATTTTGATGTGAACAAACCGCGAAAAATTGGGCATTAAGTCAACCACCCACTGCTCTTGTAGGTAATTGCCCTACGACAAAATACCGAAGCCGAAGTTCGTCCACGGGTGGTGGGTTGTTGACTCAATGTCTTATCTTCTGCGGTTTAGTTACATCAAAAGTCACGTGACACTACACGTAAAATCTAAGACCGAAAAGGTGATTTAATTTAAATAAGTGATCCAGATAAATATGGACGAAAAGACTAATGAACAGGGGAACAAGGCTTAAAATCTTGGTTTTGTTTGAGGTGTTGGGCTGGGGAAAAATACGGTCAGAGAGAAAAATACTGCGATTTAGGAGCAACTGAGAGTTGCCGAGTTTCAATCAGATTGTGAGAATCTCTAGAAATGTCAAATAAAGGTAATAAAATACTCTAATAATTCCTTTTGAAACAAGAACTACAAAGTAGAGATATGGTAATTTATCTTCCTTTCTCATGAACAAACCTTTTCTTTACAGCCAATCTTAACATAAGGACAGCAGATTATGGTCCGTGGACAATAGTTTACGATGTGACTTGCAACCTAAAGGGATAATACCGTTTCAGTACAAACAGTCTTCATGCACAGAATCAGAGCAAAGATGGCTATGCATTTAGGGTTAAATACGTAGCGCTTTAAGGCAACTGAATCGATCACTGAAAGGAACATAATTCCGTTACGTACAATTGTAAGTCAAATTCACAAAAACACCATAGGGGTCCATAGTGAAAACGAATTTAAGACAAATGAAAAAAAAGTTTGCGCGAAACAAATTCCTTTGGCGTGGGTATTTCCTAACAATAATTCAACAAGATGTTAAAAGTGGATGTCCGTCAGCACGGAGCGGCCTATTGTTTCGGAAAGAAGGACTGCTTTTGCTTTAAATCTCAAAAGAAAGAAAGAAAAATTATAATAAAAAAAGGAAGGAAAAGTGGACTTCTCACCATTTCCCTGAGAATGGTGTGTCCACAGCTGTTTGGGCAAGTTATAGGCAACTTGCTGCAGCAAGAAATGTGATCCTTGATTAAAGAGATGAGTTAGTTAAGGACAATTTTTTAACACTATTAGCACTGACAAGGAAATGTACCTGATGATTCTGATAAAGCGCTGTACATTAATTAAAATCGGACTGGACTGCATCAAAACCAGGAAAATGCTACAAATCTCGAAAATTCCCAATTATGCAAATAACCCTTGCGAACTGAATTCCCAGTTTTCTGGGAATTCCCAGGAATTCCTAGGAATTCTCAAAAATTCCCAACTTTGCATATAAGCTCTGATTTGAAAAGCTTAGAATTACTGAGAATTTCTGGGAAAGGAAGACTCCAGTTTTGTGAGGACTTGGAATTCCTAGGAATTCCTAGGAATTCTCAGCTATACAAACTACCCATAATTTAAGAAGGTGGAATTCTTGGAAATTTCTGGGAATTGAATTTGAGGTAATTTAATTTAATAAATATCCTGAGGTCCACATCAATTCCAAGAAATTCTCAACGCCTTGAATGTGAAGTTTTTAAGAAAATGAGTAATTTTAGAAGCTTAAAACTTAGGCTCAATAAAAGGTAAGCAATAAAAAATTTACCAAGAGATATAATACATGTATATGTTTATAACTTAAAGATCATGAAATTTATTTTTCAAACTAAGTTTTAGTAAATCTCTACATTAATATGGATTTCTCATGAAGCAGCAGTGAATTAAGTTAAATGCTAATTGCCAATTCATCCAATGTACTCATATCACAGAGTTGCTTTCTAACCTCAAAGGACTTTTGGATTCCGTGATCATAAAAGTTTTTTATTGTGATGCAAAATGTCTCATGTTCACAGATGTGCCAAAATCATCAAACATTCATCAGCTGTTCCTTGGTACATAACTTCCACATGTGTAACAATAACTACATTGTTATCTACACTTAAAGAACTTTGTCAGTTATGAAAATAAGTTACTTCCCTAACCTACATTACTTGTTGCCTTTGTTAAAAAATCTTGGAACAGTCAAGCTCAGTTGCCTCAAACACAGTGTCAGAGACTTTTTGTTCACATTATTTTAATAGAAATTTCATGCCTTAGACAAACTAATTCAACACCTACTTAATCTTTCTTTTTTCATGATTTTTGTTGCTGTTTTTTTTTTAGTTTTTTGCTCTGTTTTCGTGACTGATTGCTGTAATTTGTTTTGCTGTTTTTATCCTTTCAAAACATTTTTGTAAGAGTTCCAATACAAGACAAGACAGAGGTAATCAGTGTTCCCTTTGAGAAAGAACACCTTTTAAATGAATTCTTCAATCTACTTTATTTGAAACTCTGATCTGGAAATATTTTTACAACAAGACTTGTTAGTAGTAAAGAGTTCAAACCGAGTTTCCTCTCAAAACTTAATTTCTTAAATGTCCCAATCACTGGATCTCCCAAAAAAATATTACTTCTTTTTATTTTTGGGACAAAATAAAAGTCCTTCTTTACATACAAATGAAAAGAGGAAGTCACACTTCAATAAGAACAGCTCTAAAGTTTACTTGTTGTTTGTCTCTGTCTGCCAGCTATCAACAAAATTGTTTTATCTTCGGATAGTGTAAAACCATTTGTAGACCAGTGTTCCAACGCACCTCTGTAATCGCATAAAGTTGCTTCTGTCTCTTGTACAAATGTTTCTCCTTTATCAGACGTACTCTACTCTGTTGGTACCACTACTTTAAGTTCAGTGGAAACGACAGACTGAGGAATCGAGATGGGGGTGTTGGACTGTATTGCTGAACGCTTGTTACGGTCAGGCTTTGTTGATTTAGGTACTGGTACACTGGGATCATCTATGTATCTCTTATACTTCCTAATGCGGTATCCTTCTCTTATAAAAATGAGGGTAACAGACGATTTGTAATCGCATTCAAAATTGTGATTGGCTTGTGTTAATTCTCACCTTTGCCATGAACACAACTTAAGTGGGTTTTGAGATTTTGTTTCATCGCCAACTTTCGGCCACAAATCGTGCATTTGTAGTACGACTGATTCTTGTCGATTATTTCTACATAGAGTGAGCTCACATCACTATTTATTTTACTATCAGAACATGGATACAAGATATCCATCGTCCAGAAGCAGAGAACCAGTCGGAGAAGTCATGATAAAGTTGTGCGCTGCTCTTGACACTGCAATCGGGAAAGCCAGTGGATTCACTTTGCTAGCCAATGACAAGTCCTAGAAGATCCACGTGATCATGCCCGTGATCGCAACCAAAGAGAAGATTTTATTTGGCGCTCATCTTTGAATATATTTTTCATCGGTTGATCGCTCGTGTGTTAAGTTATTTCTTTTCTCAACTGTTTTGCTTAATATAACATTTCTAAAGATAGGTTTTAATGTGGTTCAATGGGAAAACGAGAAAAGCGTGAGTGTTGTAAGTGAAAAGAAAGTCGTTGGCGCCGTGGAGTTAAAAGAAGGGACAACAGTTGACATATTGACTGGTACAAACAAGGGACGAGTGGCCATTTATAAAGCTACGATTTTGAAAGTTTGTGGTGAGTAAAAATTGCGATATTCGTTACGTGATCAAAATCTTATGAAAGAATGGATATAACGGCTTGAATTAAGCTTATATAACGCTCGGCGCAACTGAAACTAGAATAATACTGAGAATCGAGTCGGTCACTTGCATGCCGCAGTTTCGTAAGCTCATGCTTTACAATGAAATAAATCTATCAGTAAGGTTTCAAGATTACTTTAGTCACGTTTGGGAACATTCAAGATTCATAATGCAAACTGTGATTAAACAAACCTTATTACATAAAGAAGCCCTCCTTGGTAAAATCAAAGTAATGTATTCAGCACTTTTTTTAATAAAATCTATGGGAGAGATGTAATAACTCCAATATAAAATTCATTCAATACAACAGAGATTTCCCAATCCCACTGCACTTTGTTAAATTGAGCTTCCAATGAATGCCCTTTTCCTCATAGCTATCTAAGGCCTTGTCTGAGCTTTTAATGCATGTATGTATAAAAAAGACAAACAGCAGCTAAGTCTGCTGTTTAGGATAACTTACAATAAGATTTTTATTAAAAATCAATTCTATTTAACTGTTATTAACCCCATTCACTCCCAAGAGTGCTAGGTCAAAATTTGAGAAGAAATCTTTGAATTTCAATGTGCAGAATAAACAAAAACAAAGAGTAAAACATGAAAGTGCTGCTTGACAGCTTACATTTGAATGCTCACACAGAAGAGTTTTATCCAAGTAAGTTATAACCACATAAAATCAAGTCAAAGCCTGTCTCTGGGAGCGAAAGGGTTAAATACCATTAGTATCATCATCCAAAATTAAATGATTCATTTTAAGACTATTTTTAAATAGATGGTATTTATTGCAGTAAATATAATCTAAGATATTGTATTTTATGGAAGAGTCAACGTCAATGATCGATTAGGACTATTTTACATGAATAGCTGTAACTGAGGATTAATTCGTATGAAGTTTTCAAGAAAAGAAAAATAAATCAAATTCCATCCTAATATTACTACGTGTTGATGTTAATATACAACAAAAATATTTTACATGTAAACCTTACTTAAAGCTTGTAAATAAATTTCATTGAGTACTTGAATTTTAGCTGAAATTTTTTCATTTTTGGTATTTATTTTATATTAGTAGCCTCAAATTTTCGCTTTAAAATTTCCAGTAATTCTTAAACAGCTGAAATTTTTTAATTTTGGTATTTATTTTATATTAGTAGCCTCAAATTTTCGCTTAAAAATTTCCAGTAATTCTTAAACATTCCTAGAAATTCCTAAGAATTTTTTAGATTTACAGCTTTTCGGGGAAAGTCATTGGTGCTCTAAGTTGGAATTCCTAGGAATTCCTAGGAATTCCAAGTCCTGTTGGCTATAAACTTGGAATTTCTGGCAGTTTCTGGGAATTTCTAGGAATTTCTAGGTTTTTAGGACCAGAGTTGTTATAGTTGGGAATTCCCTGTCCGAATTTACACCTCTTATTCCTAGGAATTCTTAGGAATTCCAAAATCCATTTCGTAAGGGAAGTTCTCTGCTCTTTGCGAGAAGTGCGTGGGTTCTTTAACGTCCTCTGCTAACAAGTGCGGAGAGGAAGCAGGAAACAGGGCCTACGGCTTATTGTCCTTATCTGAGAAGACTAAAATTTCTAACCATTGCAGATGTCAAAGCAAAGGCAGCATATTCTCTTTAGTTTTTTTAAGACCCTGAGTGTTGGTCCATTCTGATGGCTGTATTTACCTCTTTACTCCTCAGTTCTCCAGTCCATTCACATCCATCACTTGGACAACGAATAGCAAAGGAAAGAATCTTCCTTTCAGTTGCTTTGTCAGGAAAAACATCCTGAAGGAATCGAATGAAAAAGGAAAGAGTAGGTTAGAATACGTCATGATGTATTATTTGAGTTGGGCTTAAGTAATTGTCCAAACAGATAAATTGTTTTAAGGGGGTAAGTTTCTAAAGAAACTGTGGTGCTGCGTCGGTGGGAGAGTATAGCAGGTAATTTAGTGTTAACAACTGGGTTGAAAACGTAAATTAGCCACCGTAAAGGGTAAAAAAGCTGACGTTTCGAGCGTTAGCCCTTCGTCTATCGCTCTGACGAAGGGCTAACGCTCGAAACGTCAGCTTTTTTACCCTTTACGGTGGCTAATTTACGTTTTCAACCCAGTTGTTAACACTAAATTACCTGAGATAAATTGTTTTGTCTGAAAGGATCTATTTCAGTCAAATAAATTTTTTCTTCACCAACGTATGTATACGTATTTACAACGTATGTACAACGTATATACAACGTATGAGTTTAGTTAAATTCTTCCTCATCCAAAAAATTTCCACGAAAAAAGTTCCTTTCAAGGTTTCTTTGTCAGTTTTCGAACACGAACAGTTGACTTAAAACATTAGAAATCAATTCTGAATGTCTATTCGGGCAGTAAGCAAGCAACTAGTTGGATTTCAGGAAAGTTTGCGAGAGAATCTAGGTGTAAACATATACAAAAAACCTGTTTGATTTAAGAATGAACTGCTTCTTAGAATTGATTTTCCAATGATTATATCGAACCAATGAATTTAACCAAGGTTTGTACCACCTAACATGAGTTGATTAAACGATGATCGATAATCTATGATGACGGTTGATAATTTTTACAAACACTGCCAGAAACTTTGGAAATCTAACCTTAGTTTTCCAGGAGTTTGTCTCTAGTGTTTCACATTAAATGCACTGTGTTCTAGTTTTTGCGTTAATGGAATTTAACTTAAATACAGTTTTTATGATTGATTCGTGTACCATGTTTCTATCCAGACTTGATCTGTCCGCGGGGCAAGACAAAGGTTCATGACGAATTTCCTGCCTGTTGACATATTTGGAAATAGAAGAAAAAGACATAATTTAGCGCGTATTACCTCAAGAGGTGTTATTGTTACATGTATGCAGAGTATGCATCTCACAGATTATTGCGTCTGAGAATTTACGGTTATAATAAAAAGAACTGGGATAAAATTTGGACACTTGAAAATAAAATCTTTGTCACGATACGTGAAATCCGTCATTAAAATTTCGATCTATTTAGTAGCTAAGTTCCCGTCCACGAAAACATGCCTTCATGAAGTTTACGTCGATCTAAATTATGTTAACTTTCATGATTATTTCTGCATGAATAAGAAGTCTTATCAGTAAATGTAAAAATGATTCATTTCTAGCTTTATTCGATATTTTTTTGTAAAATGTGGTCGAGTATTCAAGCTCACGGGGATTAATTAACAAGTTTCAGAAAAATCAGGGAAGCGTTTCGAATTATCACAACTGAGCCATTTGGTCCCTGTATTACGCTTACAAATGAGTTCAATTCCCTGCTTCGTTCATAAAATATTTAGAAAAACCACAACGGCTGAAGGAGAGTTTTGGCAACTCACAAATATGCTATAATGATGAACGCTATATTACAAGAATACCGATCGCGTAACAAAAGCGGAATCAAGTTGTACATAGTTAGTAGTCCCCTCTACTAACTGAATAATTTTGACGTTTGAATAATATTGTTGCTGTCGGTGTGCATTGTGTGACCTAAAGTAAACGGCTTCATGTCAACTGTGTGGGCCCCTTTGGCGTCCCTGATCCAATCGATTAAATAAAATTGAATTTTTCCAGTATAGTGTATAGCACTGAACCCTCTAAAGCCCCCCAGTCTTCAATCTAAAATACAGGTTGAAGTTATTTATTCAGAATATTTATTTAATCATTCGCAATTAAGTTAAAAACTTTGACCAGAAAAAAGCAAAGGATAAAACAAGGGTTTGGACGAGCTAATGAACTATTACAGTTATTTTAAGAGAGATTAGCCCCCCCAAGTAGTTCACTGCAGTAGCCTCACTGCCTCACGACAATTGCAATCACTAGTCTGAAAATCTGCGACGATATTTACGGGAAATAAGAAACAAAGATCTTAAACGCTGGTATACACTGCACAAGTAATTTTGCTTTCTACGCTGATCGGTAAGCTAGGAGATTATCAGCCAAGTACCATAAATATGATCAAAAAGAGACATTTCGAGACAAGAAAACAGAAGACATATATATTTAATAGATATTTTCAATGTTGCAACGTTTTAGGAAAAAAACTGAAAAGCGAAATGGCTTTAGCGTCAGCGATTTCAATCTTTGTACTCTCTTCTCTGACATGGAACGTTTCTGTTAGACTTCGAGCACCATGAAGGTAAATGATAACACGGGTGGTTTGTGAGGGGAAAAAACCATTCGAAACCGAAAAAAGCAAGTCACTCACGGGCAGTCAAACGAAAGCACTCAAAAGTCCAGTTTATGCCACATTTATAGATTTTTACAGGCTTAATTTCTCATAAAATACCACTACTAATTCTAAATCTCCAGTGGTGAGTAACAGAGAACTCACTGGAAGCCAGGCCGTTTAAGGGGTTCGTATGTTATGATTCGCTAGTCGATAGTTCCCATGCAGGCGCTTTTTTCGGGGAGCTAAAGATAGAAACACTCTGAAGAGCCGCTAGAATAAATTTTATTCCAGATTTCTTTATTTCTCTATTCAAGAGTCTTTTTGGAATAATTTCCCTCTTCCTTTTAGACTATCTAATCATCAAATTGTAGACAAAAAGAATTAAAGGACTTTTCCTTTAGAGCTTTTAGATCTAAAATCTTATTACCCACTAACCCTGGGTAAACTTAACCCCGCTTTGAACAAACCGGCCCTGTGGCTCAGTGGTTGAGTAGCTACCGGTCCGTGTTTGAGCTCTGGCCGAGTCATTGTGTTGCATCACTGGGCGGGACACTCTATTTTCACAGTGCCTCTTTCCACCTATTATGCAGAACTGGGAAATGGATGAGTTGTCGAAGGGCTGCCTAGGGCTGGCTAACTTCCCGTCTCGGAGGGGTAACAGTTACACTCTTACGTGCTATTGACACTGATGTAAAGATTCAACAGGAGAGCACTTGAGAGAGCACCAGCAATCTCTTCCTTTTAATGAGGATATAATAACATAACTGCATATGTAATTTTCCTCTCATCAGTTAGTAATCCTCGGCGAAATGACAATATACAAACAACAGCTATTTTTATAAGAAATTCACCAATCATCCTAAATGGCTTAAATCACTTTTGTTATTATTATTATTATTATTATTATTATTATCGTCATCGTTATTATTATTATTATTATTATTATCGTTATTATTAGTATTATCATTATTACTATTATTATCATTTTTAATATTCGTGTCCAAATTAAACCTAGATGAAGAAGGATGAAACTTAGGAGGGCGACTAGCCCTAGAAATGGTCTTGGTTTCTAAAAAATATAAAAACAGTATTATTACTTAATGGCCATCTCGGGGTTTTTTCTATTGTTTTTTTTGTTTTGTTTTTGTTTTGTTTTGTTTTATTGTTTTGTTTTAGGGACATATATTTAACTATCTCCTTGAGTAAAAATGTAACCGACTTGTCTTGAACTTCGTAAACGAAATGCGGCAAATTCAGTGCTGTTATTCGTAGCCTGTTAATTACCTACTTTCAGACCTAAATGGTACATATGTTAAACCTATATGTATAAGTAAATATTCTTGATAAACGTTTTTGTCCAAATTAAAGTCTTGCGACTCTGTAAGTACCTTTTAAGTCACTTTGGAATTTGTCCAAAACCTCGACAGTTTAAGATTTGAGATAAACAAGCGAATCAAGAGGATGGAGGTCCGACTTCAACCTGAAGAAACAAAGTGTCATCCACGATGTAGCGCCTTGAATTAAGTCTCTTGTGAGATACGAATCGAGGAAAGCCCAATCCTGTGCTCTCCTTTATCAAAGGCCTTTTAAAGATTTCTGGATGATTGCCTGTAAGGAACTCCGTAATTACGTTTTCCTTCTGGTTTGGATCTTCTTGCTGGTCAATCAAAGTAAATGTCACTTTCTTCTTCAAAGGCCAGGGTAATATGGCGTCATAATCACCTCTTTTTACTGTAATGAACACAGAGAGGTGCGAATGATCAGGTTTACAGCCGTTAGGATAGACACTCACTTGTAACTTGTAGCCATAACTTTCTGTGTTTGTTGAGTAAAACGGATCACTTTTCAACAATTCCTTTCGTCTATTCATACCTGTAGCTTGTTTTAAAACTTGACTAAAGTTGCCAATCTTCCAAATAAACATACGCGTATCCACGAGTCTCTTTGTAGCACCTAGTTCCTTCTCTGTATTCTTCAACCTCGCACAAGCGAAATCAAGATGTGATTTGATGTCGTTTTCCAGGTGATGGTCCACCTCGCGTCGAAAAATCTAATCAATAATAATTGTAGTCAATTTACAAAAAAAAATAGTTTCTCTCCAAAGGATATGTTCTGCAATGAAAGTTAAAAACGAGTTTTGCCGAATTACTTTGTGGGCCTGAACGCAACTTGAACTCTGGAATTCCGTGTTGCAAGTTCAGAACTGACTATTTACCATTCTACACATGTCTACATCCTTGCCATATGCACATGTGCTTTAGCGTGTGTTCTAGCTAGTACATGTGAAAGTAGTTCGGGTTGATAATAATTCTATTACTTTTAACTTAAAGATAAAAAATATAACACAAGCAATGTTGGACCTTTGTTTGTCAATTATCTTAAGGCATATTTTTCGCAACTTTCGACATTTTGCACACAAATCCAAAGTCAAATATAATTGTCGACAAAATTTCAGTTTGTAAACCTTACAGTAAAAAGGAAATGCCTCGTCAAAATTTTTTTCGAGATTTAACCCTTATCATCCGGTGGGGAAAAAAGGTGCTTAAGTAGCCTTAATTTTTTATTTTGATTTCATAATCTTCGTTGTGATCTCCTTATCTTGCATGGTCATGAGTTGAACACTTTTCTTGTTGCAGGCACCGACCCTAAACCTGGAGGTACACATGTAGCTGCTAATCAAAGATTGTGCAAAGCCTCTCAGACTAACATATTAGTACATACCTTTCTTTTGCAGCCAAGATATTGATAGGGACAGTTAATTACTTTTAGCGGACAAATAGTCTGAGTGTGATTGGTGATCTGAAAGAAATTATCAACATCAATGCAAAAGCAAATGAACAAGAGCCACTGCACTGGGACATTTTCTGAATGTGTAAAGTGATACATGTAGTAAAAATTCTGTACTATGGACAAGCCTATTGGCCCACCCAGATGGAGATTATCCTAGTTCTCATAGCATGAAGCGACCAGGAGTATCACTACTCGCCCCTGGACTGGATGCTCATCCATTACAAGGTCCCCCCCCCCCTCCCCCAACATACTGGGTGGAAAGTAGCACTGAGAGAGTAAAATGTTTTCAGCCCAAGAACAGAACACATTGACCTGGTCTGGTCTTGAACCCAGAGTTTAGCACACTAATCAGTGGGCCAATGTGTCTTTTAATACCGGAGTTAAAATAATTTCAGTTTACTTTAATGCCTAAAAAAGGGTGGAGCTCAGTAACATCTTTTTCAGAAAGCCCTAACTACTATCACACATAAACAAAGACAAACACACATACAACCAATATCAGAAAAAATATGAAAAGCCTACCGCCTCTCTAGGAATAGACTGGCCACACTTGTTGGGGCAAGGTAGTTGAAACTTTGGACATTGATCAAAATGATTCTGCAAAGTTAAAGGAAAACATATTGATAATTAATACAAACAGAAAAGGATTAACTATAATCTTATGATGATAAACTGACACATTTTGTAATAAATTTGGCTTTCATATGCCATGGAACACTATGTGAGTGTTAAATTTTCTTTACATGGACGTGTCAAATACTGGGTCCAATTTTAACATGTGTGGAAAGGGGCTAAAGAGACTGGGTCTGGAGAACAAGCCAGACTTATTGGTCAAAGTTCTCGACAATATATAACAATTATAAAGTAATAACAATAATAATAATTACAGTAAATGATAAACAACAACAATGATAATGACATTGATATAATTATTCAAACTGCATAGTGAGACTTAAAAGGAGCAAGACAAAAGACATGACAAGATTTCATTTTCTCACTACTTTTCCCCATGGTTCACCAGTATGTAAGTCTCAACTTTGTAAACTTAGATTTCCTAGCATGGGACCAAAAATATCCCATATTAGGAAAACTGACCTTGGTGGTCAGTTGACAGAGTTTGAAGTTACAGCTTACAGTAACAATATGTAGCTAACTTCAAGATGATCAGATACAAGTAAAGAAATGATCTTGCAGGTAAACTAGTTACAAATTAAATTGGAAATAACAGAAAATAATATGATAAGCTTTAGTTCTATACCATTTGCCATTCAGTTTTTCCTAGAAGTAAAATGTCAAGATGACCTAACACTATGTTATCAACATAACCTGGGGGGCTAGCAGTGTGGCACACTTAGTTATAACATAATTCAACCCAATGGACTGATCCAACCAGAGGATTCACCTGCCTTGATCCTGTTCCTTTTAGTATATCCACATGAATTTTACAATTACCTTCACCTCACATTTTGGGTATGACCTATTGCAGTGTACACACTTTATAATTCTCCACTGACAGATGTTCCTCAAATGGCCATTGAGATTCATCTTCCTGACTTGAACTTGACACTTTGCATTTGTGCAAGGGATCAATTTCCACTGACATGTTTTTAGGTGAGTCTGATAAATGAAAAATAGAATATAGCAAATTAAAAGAACAGAATGGAGTACCTGTAATTAAAAAAGTGCAATACACAGTACATGCTTGAATACAGTAGTTATCAGAGGAATCATATTATCCAGCTGTGGTGGGATTTGTATGAATAAGCATGGAGATCAAGCAAGATACATGTAGTGACATCAACCTTGCATTCCTTTTTTGCATTTTATATAGTCTTGGTCCATAAAACTCTTAAAATGATGGCCAATACCAAAGCCATCTTGACCAAACAAGCTTTCTCAATGACATAGATATTTTTGGTCATTATACCAGTTGAGGTCATAGTGTTTACCAAATTTAATTGTCTTCAAGGTCCTTAGAAGGTGTACACAAATTTGACTTATACCATCAAGTTCAAATTAAGGAGAAACACAGACTTACATTAATTGTAACTGTGGGATTAGGACTGAAGTATCCTACAACAAAATTGGTTGATCTCTGTCCTGTTGTAAGGCCAGTAGTTTTTGTTTTGTTTCTCCCTTTTTTTTTATTTTTTACCTCCTTCTCTCCCAATTCGCCAGTCCAGTTACATCCAGAAGGGTCACATCTGTAATTTGGACATCTGATGGTCAAAGAAAGTATCTTCCGTTCTGTTGCTTTGTCTGGGAAGACATCCTGAAAATAGGATGTTAAGGTTAAGGATGTATTTTCTGAGTAATGACAAGGGACTCATCATTGTAACATAAAATATAAATATTCTAGAGTTGATCAAGTTCAAGATATCTTGTATGGAAAAAGGTGTTAAATTAAATCATGTTTAATCATCTTTTTGACCAGGAAAGTAACATCATGGGCTTGTCCACTTATTAATAACATGTGAATGTGAATTTACAATTTTTAATTAATAATTATATTAAACTATGCATATTCCATCATGTTTATCTCAACTTGTAAAACAGTGGCAAAATATTTTAAAAGATATCTTTATTTTAAAATCTTTTAAATTTGATAGCCAGAGCAAATGGAAATAGGAAAAATTTTAACTTAACAAAAATACTCTAAATTTGGTTCCCTCTAATAAGTTATTTCAATGCAACTTCTTCATAGGAACATGCAAATGCATGCAAAAGAATGTGTTGCTGCATAACAACTAAACATACACAACATATTTCAGCTGATTAATTTAATGAAAATTCCACAGTCAATAGTTCATTTAAATCAGTATTAAATCAGTAGTTTCCTTTAAAACCATTTACCTTGTCTGTATCCAATTTCTGCCTGTCTTTAGGGCAATTAATAGATGTTTTGCGGCTCTTCTGTCTGTTAAAAAAATGTACATCTATAAATACCATAATATTCAAATCAATCCCTACCACAACACAATGTTTCATGATGAATCAAAAGGTAAGGGGAACAACAGATAAAAATCCCTCACTGACAGGTCAGACACCTTAATTCTATTGATTACTACCGATTTCCACAGATAACCAAAAGGAACCAAATTAGACAGAACTAAAAACCCATGGAGGTTTGCGAGTGACCTTTATTTAAATGGACAAGAAAAGCTATGGGTACTGCAGTTGTTTGAAAGCTGAGAGGACTAACCCGGTAAGGTCAAATTGTAATACAGGTTTCTTTATTTTCAGGGAAGCATATGATGATAGTTAACAATGAAAAAGCCAACGATAAGTAAATAGCAGCCACTATCAAGTATGAAGCAAACAGACCTGTTGAAACAATTAGGCCCATTTATGTTCTTCAGACAAGTGATGGGACTCAAAAGAAAAAAGTCTACTTGGGGATTATTTATTGATCCAACACCAGATTCTCTGAACAACATAACTCTAAAATCACAAGAGTTGTAAAGCAAGCAGTAAGGAAAATGATTAAATGAGATCTGGGATTAAAATGGTTAAGTTTGTTGGGTGTAGCCTGTAATTCATGACAAGAAATGTTTAAAAGGAAAAAAGAAAATACTACTTTCAATTTTAATACAAATCAATCAATTAAACACAAGTTGATGAATTATTCAACTTCAAAGCTTTAAATCTTACAATAACTATAAATTAACCCTTTGACACCTGGGAGTGACTAACTTGTAATTTCTCCTTACAATACAATACCCCAGATTCAAACATTACAATAATGGAAATTTAAAAAATGATCACCAGTTAAAGAAGTTCTTAATTATCAAAACATATTCTCTTTGTCAGCACCTTTAGAAATGTATAGAGGACAGTATGGAACGAGAATAAGGATACTTATGTTTCAAGATGAAAAAAAGGGTTGCTCAAATTTTCAGTTCCATTTATAATTATTGCTAATTCATATAGACACTCTTTCGGTGGCCAATTTACATTATCAACTCAGTTGATAAATTATAATTATCTTATTGTACCCTCCACTGACGCAGCACAAAATTTTCTTTAAAAAACTTACCCATTAGCTATATTGCTAATGTTTGTCAATTCTGAATGTTATATCTATAACACTGTCGGAATTACATGTATGCATTTCTGTATAGGAAGTTCTATGCATGTATTGCCTTTGAATCCTCATTTTAGGCAATGAAAGGAGATCGTTGGCTCCTACACCCTGGATCGATCAAGAATTGAGCGCCGCTTCACATACGAACTCGTTCGTACATCATTACTTCGTCACTCTGTCCGTCGACTCACAGCAAAAGGTATGTAGCTGTGCACAAGAGTAGGAGAAGCTATTTATAGGCTTTTAACATGCAAAGTATCAATTTAGTCGTGTCGCGTGGCCACGACAATGCATATAATTGTTATACCTTCTAAAATGTTCCTCGATGCATTCTTTGCAAAATCTGTGGCCACATCTTGTCAAAACAGGCTCCTTCAGCGGCTGATGACATATTGAACACTCTAAATCTTCTTCAACCTTACAAACAAACTCCTCATCATAACCTGAGGGCACCTGAATACTTGGGGCTTCTGCTATTCTTAAGAGAAAGCTCATGTCGAAAAGCAGTAAAACGAAAGCGACAACTTATTCATGAGTAATACCCACTTAATCGTAACAACTTCCGTTAACCGTATGGACGGACTGTTGATAGCCCGTGGGGAGAAGGGTAGGACGTTAATTTGTTTTATTTAGGCTGAAACCCATTTAATTTTCACCATAATGACATGTTTGACGAAATAGATCGGATGCTCAACTGTGGAATTTTCCCGACTTCTCACTGCGCAGGGAATATTTTTACGCATCTTTTTCTATCTTTCGCCCTTCCCCCCTCACCCCTCCCCCGCTAATATCATTTGATACTAGTGCACCGCGCGGAACTCTGGGAGTGAGGCGCACGATAAAGGAGCTCGGCCCAGCTCCAACTACGTTTGACGAAGTCATCTTCATTTGCATTCACAAAGTCCTCATATTGACGATCCGCTATTGGCAAAGTAGCAATTTCATCAACACCTCGAACAAACACTTTTTCAGTACAGCTAAGTATTTACCTACGCAAACGCAGTGGACACAAAAGTCATTTTGTAGGAGCAGATCTTCGTCTCGAGGAGTCAATTTATCAGTGAAAACGTTTTTATTATAAATGGTTGGGAAAATCTCAGTATTGTAGTTCCCATTGTTGAACATTGTTACCTTCGCTCAATAAAAAAACTAGACTCCATTCCTTGTTAATTATTGGTTTTAGAATGAAAATGATAAATCCTTACATCAAAGTAGATGATACGATGATAATTTGACGCTTAGTTGGTTTTAAAGTAGTAAAAAAATGAGTTCTTGAGCGGCATTTAGTTTAAAGCACAATGAAGATTTTCTAGGCTAAGAGAGTTCATTGCTATGTGATTGATAACCAAAGTATTTTATTTTTGTGTTGGAAATGAAAAGTTTTATTTGTCGCTTATTACTTTTGTTCACTGACGTTTCTCACTGCAAATTGTCGGCCGGATCAATTATGATGTATGATTTAGGGTATAAAATACTAACATTTGGTGAATAGTTTCGCTCATGAGGACTTATATTATTGTGTGGCAAGCACCTGTTTCATTTTCACCGGTGGCGATTTGACTCAGACGTCATGTGTAGCAACTAGAATGAAACTTACATCAAATAAATGAAATAGTAAAAATGAAAAATAAAAAAAAAATAAAAAAAAAATGAAATAGTATATCGCCAATTTAGAAGTGCCTACAACTAACGGCGAAAGGGACCAAGACGATGTGTAACATCTCAATTATGGAACGTTAACCGTTGTGGCGAGTTTTTCTGTGGTGGGGAGTTGACTGTAAACCATTTTATTGTTCAGAAACTAACTAAGTTGAAACTTGCCTTTTCAAATTTTGTTAAAGTACTAATTCAGCGTATTGCAAATTGTACCATGTTATGAAGCTTCGAGTTATTTACACTACTCTAAATTGATTTTCGTTAACCGAGAAATGAAAACAGTCCAGGGCCACCGTTTTCCAATAGATCAATTGAGTAAGGAAATGGAAAGTCTGTCCTTTGTCAACACGATTAAATCTTGAGAGTAGTCCCATTTTCTGGAGGTGTAGCATTGGAAAGACACGCATAATGTCAGGAGAGCGTGATAAAAAGCTTTTGATTTTTAGTTTCGGATTTTAGTTTAGATTTTTCGATTTTTAGTCTCGAAATCACGATTTACCAGTTTCGTGAGTCCGCAGGAGTTTTACCACACTATAGACCTGGTAGGAAATACAATGTGTTCCTTTCATGAAAAACACACGCAAAAAAAAAAAAAAAAATTCATTGTGGTAAATCTATAGAGGACTGATAATTAAACTGCTAACGCTTGTCAAGTTCTTAAAAAGAGAGCTAAAAAATCAATCAGTGTGTTCTCAGAGGACGATCAACGCCACAGCTGAATCGATAAAAGGACTAGCGATTGTGCAAGATGTTGTTTATATTAGAGAAAGCAGTGAATTATACTGCAAATTTCATCTCAAATAACTTATTTTACAGGGAAACAATAAAAAAAAACAATAAAGTTTTTTGTTCGTCTTCGAGCGCAATTTTCGGAGCATAATTACACTGTTGTCATTTGTGTACCACATTTGGTTTTCTTGCATCTTAAACAAAAATTATATTTTAAAAGACTATATCTGTTTGGTGTTATGTCAAAACAACGTATTTAACGCTGTCTTCAACATTCCCCCTTCATTCATTTACAAATAAAAGATTACCATCTGTCCTAAAGAAAAATTCTTCCAGCTTCAACTTATAGCCTAGGCTACATTGTCTAGCCAACTGAATTGTTAAATCTCTTCGAGTGATCTTTGACGATAAAAAATACAGTAGCTACTCGTGAAATGCAACCTGGCACGTGATGATTCAAAGCTGAACTGAGGTGCGGGGTTTAGTGTCGCAGGTGTAAAGAGATCATTTCTCCTGTAAAAAAAAATAAAATAATGCCCCATTATTTTATCTGCATGTAATCATTGTTATGTGACAAGTAAATAAATTTGTAAGGTAAGGGAGGCCCATCAAATAAGAATAAAAGAGTTTTGTTATATTGTGGGAAAAACATATCTGTCAAGCCGACGGCGAGTGGCTTAGTCACCATACTCTCCTTGAAAAGGAAAGTGAAATTTTTTTGCAAAATTTCAGAAGGTAATATCACAAATAACATTTTTTTCGTATTACTTTTGATCATGTACTTTACAAGTGGCAGAAAAGTATTATCCTTCTCGTTTCCTCATTTCGACACGAGCGCCCTAAGTAAGTTATACAAACAATACGGAGCCGGATGCAGTTGACCAAAACCAAGACAAGCTCTTGGGTCTCCCTTTTCTTTCTTTCTTCCCCTTTTCCTCTTCTATCTTTATGCTGAGTAAACTAGGTAGACGAGGTTAGATTTGCTTTCTTTCTTCCCCTTTTCCTCTTCTATCTTTATGCTGAGTAAACTAGGTAGACGAGGTTAGATTTGCTTTCTTTCTTCCCCTTTTCCTCTTCTATCTTTATGCTGAGTAAACTAGGTAGACGAGGTTAGATTTGGAAAGTACGATGTAACCAGAGAGTTTTAATTTAGGCAAACTCCAAGACAGTATGAAAGAACCATGTAGCCTGTATCTATAAAGAACAGATATTGGTAAATAAAATAATCTCATTAACAAAAAAGGGCTTTTTTTCTTCTTTCACTGTTTAGAGATCTTCACTGTCTTAAAATTTACTTTATGGAGTCGGAAACGTTTTATGCCGCTTTTTATTTTCACCAACAGGGTTATGATTTTAAAATAGATGAGGAGTTATTGTCATGGAAAAGTTAACCCTTTTTGTGATATCGCTCATCTTCATTCACACGGTACTTTTGAGGGACCAATACAGTACAGTAGCTGTTTCAGGTAAACAAAAGCTTTCCTTTGCATTTTTTAGTATTTTTCAATCAGTGAGTTATCTGAATGCGTAGTAGTGGTGTGGCAATTTTCATTCAATTAACTGGTTGCTCAGTTTCGATTTTTTACCAACTCTTAAGGAATCACGAACTAGTATGTTGTGTTTCTATTTAAGTCTCATTGCTAAGGCTGAGAACTAGATAGCCGCGGATAATCAGTTAATAAATGTTTGAGTTTGAGAAACGCAGTTGAAAGGGAAACGAAAATAGAAATAGCAAACAGACGATCGATCGAAGAAAAACGTAAATTAAAGGTTTTCATAATGCTGGAATATATAAAAAGCTTTCCGTGCAATCTTGCAAAGGCTCACATTGATCATCTGCCACTATAAGTCCCAGAGTACATATAAGGATAGAAAATTCGTTTCATGTTTCTGATCAATATGTTTGCTTCGTTAGGGAAATTGTTAAAAATTTGGCTGAAGAGGCCAGCGTTCTCAGGGCCTTAATCTACCTAACAGCTAACAAAGAGAATAAAATTCGCTCCTTGACGTTAGGAATAACAGCTTGCAAAAACTGAGGATTGCATGTTTGATGTTCCTCTTTTATTCAACTACTCTGAATGAAGTTTAAAGAGAGATTTAACTGATTTGTCACACATAAAAGCAGAGGACTGAAGTTTTCGACGTAAAAACCTACGCGGGTGTTGGGATAGGAAATAGCTGACAAAAGAATGCGATAAAAAGAGAAATAGCCAAAACGATAATGGCTCATAATCCGACTTACGCTAGAATGTTGCTCTCTCAGATGTTCATGTATGTGACTCCATTGATTTCAGTTATTCAGCTGGATAACATATTTGGAGAGTTCGAAACCCCAGCGCGCTTTATCTCTTTACCTTCACGTTGGCAGTGGGCTTACAGATCACTCAGTGAGTCAGGAAATAAGTTCGTGTATTTTTCCGTCGCAACCGTCAAGATAATTCATCAACCATTATCTCTAGGAAGACTAGTAATAATCAATACGATAAATAATTCGTATGGCAACAATAAAGTGATGCTTAACTCTTAGCTTGATGTAAAGACAAAAGTGCATTTTTCTTTCAGGCTGTCAAACTAAATGTTCTATATCATTCTCCTTCACTTGGTGCAAGGACATCACGGCAGTGGAACTTATGAATTGCAGCTCATTGTTTTCCAGGCGCCTGTAAGACACTTTTGATCACCTCCCATTAGCTGCAGAATAGCTGGTTTTCTTACAAACGTTCTTAAAGCGCCTTTTCTTGATGGAAGACAAAAATGTGGTATATTGTAAAAGAATTGTCCACCTCACAAGTCGTTTAATGATTGAGTATCGATTTGTTTCATTATTACATTTATAGTTATTTGAATTTCTTTTCCTTTTTGTGGGAAATTCCTAAAAATGAATGATTATGTAGAATACGTAAATAAAATTAGGAGAATCAACCGCATTGGCATGCTTGATATTGATCTATAGTAACTTGGAAAACAAACATGAATACTCAAAACAAGGGGGGAGGTTTGCTTTGCTTGATCAGAGGAATTATTCATTCCTTAGCAGTCTCAGGGAGAGGATATGAGCTGAATTATTCAGCCATCAATACTAGACACTTTCGTCAACGACAATTTTTTTCCAAAATTTTTTTGTCGCCATTGCAATATTTCCCTAGAAAACGACAGTAGATTTTGATACAACGTAATTTCAGTCAATGTGCGGAAGAACAGGTAACAAGTTCTCATTTTTTCCTTCAACTTCTCCATTCAGGATGGTGTCGTCAAGTAATTTGTCTCACCTTGAGGCGGAAATGTTTTCAAGATTTACCATTTCTGATGGACTGTAAGTGTAAAACTCTCAGTGAAGGAAAAAAAATACCTAACTCAAAATGCTATTGACGAGTATGGTGATACTTTCAAATCATCATGAAAATTCATCCGTGTAAAGCATGTGCAAAAGGGTTCTCTGCTGCTATTTAAAGGGACCTTTTAAGCCTAGTTGGTTAAAGGATTTCCTTCGGCAACAGAGTTTTATTTGTTGTTGCAGTTAAACAACTTTTCAAAAGATTTACTAGGTAATAACTAGGACTGCTGGAAACTATCACTATCACTATGGCCACGTCTTCGTTAATATGGGGTTTGCATTGGTTGGCTATTTCCCAGACAACATGTTCCAATTCCTGTGACCCTATGGCATCGTGAATTCCATCGAAAGTTATCCATTAGGGTGTTTTTCAAAGTGGCAAGACTTCAGATTCAAGACGTATCCGGTTCAACCTCATGCCTCATGAGTGATAATCATGTCAACTTTTGTTCTTATAAAACGCAGGTATTTGTCTTCAAATTCTATTGTCTCCTTATCTGAAAAAGTATTTGCTGATCAGGAATACTTGGGAATTCTGTAAGTTTAGCAAATCCTCAGGAGAGGCTTCCAGCAAAGCTCTTTCCTTAATTACAGTAAGTAACAACAGAACTGATTCACATCTGCCATGTGTTTCACAGGGATTTATCTTTCAACGCTATTACTTCTTTGCCCGAGAGAGTGTTTGCAAATCAAAAAGGCCTGTACATCCTGTAAGTGAAGATATCGGTCGCACATTGCCAAGCAATCGTACAGAGTCACTTTAGTTTTCTAAAATGATTAAAAACCTATAAATAACATATATATTATGCTTTTTGACTGTGAAAATTTGTGTTAAGAATTAATTATACTCTAGACAGGCTGATGAAGAAAGACTGATGTAAATGACGCTTCTAGCAATTACAAAATGTTACAAAAAATTTACATTTGCGATGTGTTTCATAGGAAATTACGTTTCAACGCTATTACTTCTTTACCCGAAAGAGTGTTTGCAAGTCAAAAAAACCTGCAAAACCTGTAAGTAAAGACATCAGTCGTAGACGGCAAAGCAATTGTATTTAGTAGCTTCAGTTTTATCAAATGACCAAAAACGTTTGAATAACATATCTATTTTGCTTTTTGACTTTTGCAAATTTGTGTTAACCATTAATTATACACTAGAGAGACTGATGAAGAAAGACTAATGAAAATAACGCTTCTAGCGAAGCTCTTTCCTCAGTCAAAAAATTTGACAAAAAAAATCACCTCTGTGATGTGTTTCATAGGGACTTATCTTTCAACGCTATTACTTCTTTACCCGAAAAAGTGTTTGCGAATCAAAAAGGCCTGTACAACCTGTAAGTAAAGATAAAGATGGCAAGGCAATTGAATTTAGCCACTCCGCTTTAGTTTTCTCAAATGATCAAAAACGTATGATTAACATGTCTATTTGCTTTTTGACCTTTACAAATTTGTATTAAGAATTAATTATACACCAGATAGACTTAAAAAAAATAGAAAAATAGAAAAAAAGAACGGTCACCTAGGTTCCAGAAGGAAACGGACAAATTAAACGAAGATTAGAACTTCACAATTGACTTTTTTTTTAAACTAAAGCCTATTTTCAGGCTGGTCTTGATAGACATATTGTGTAACATCTTTATAGCATGGGCTGCTCTTTGCCTAAAATGTTACTCCACTATTAGGCATGTTGTTTTTGTTGCTATCATTGTTGTTGTTGTTGTTTTTTAAACAGAAAAATAGGTTCGAACAGGATCAAAATTTTGCCCGAGAGAGTGTTCGCCAACTTAACAAACCTGGAATATCTGTACGTAACATATGGGGATTGAAGCAGGGAACCTTGAAAATAAAAAGAGCAAATACAAATAATAAAGGGGAATATGCAGAGATTTAAATATTCATTCGTTTCTTCGAAAAAGTTATACTTGTCAAACAGCCAATGAAGTATCTTGATGTTGAGCCAGTAATGTGATTTGGTTTAGGCAGAATTCAAGGACCTTTACTCAGATTGTGAGGGAAATTAAAAATGCTGGAAATATATTTAGCTTTTATTTTACATCTTTTCGTTTCCAATTGCTATGTCCACGCGTCATTTATGCCATTTTGTTTTAAATCTCATCCTTATATGAATGAAAAGCTGGAGCAGAAGTTACCCTTTTTGCATTTTGAACTTATTCTTTTTGCTTCCTTTGCTCTTTTGTTTTTGGTTATTATTTTGTTATTAATTTTATTTGTCTATTTATTTTTGCTTATGTTGCGTTTTGTCTGTTTTTTGTAGCTTGTATGTTTGTTTTTTTCATAGGGATTTATTTTCGAATTCAATTTCCTACCTACCTGCGAACGTATTTTCAAACCAGAAAAACCTCGAATATCTGTACGTAACAGAGGTTATTTTGATAACATTAAATGATATTTAAGCGTGTCCTGTAGCTGAGGAGGGGTAGGGAGGGAGGAGGGGCAGGGGCGGCAAGGAATTATTCAGTTTGAAAATGGCTTTGCATCCGCACGAGTTTAGAGGATTTTCTACTTGTTATGTGCTGTAACCATCCCGTGACAGTAATGTGGGTCACATACTCACATGCACCTTTGGAACTCCTCCCCTTCCCCATTGGTTAGTAAGGCCCATGAAACATGAATTTTTGGGCACTCTTTTTGCATAATGTTCTTTTTTCGCTTCGTTTGCTATTTTATTTTTGCCCATTGTTTTGTTTTCTTATGTCATTTAGTTTTATTTGTCTGTTTGCTTTTTTTTATGTTTTGTGTGTGTTTTTCGTCGTCTTGAATTTTTGTTTTTAATAGGGATTTATTTTCGAATTCAATTTCCTATTTACCCGCGAACGTGTTTGTAAACCAGAGAAACCTCGAATATCTGTACGTAATAAAGGTTACTTTGATAACATTAAACGATAAATAGGTGTGTCCTGAATTGTTTCATCGACGCTCTTTTGTAGTTGCCCGAAAAAATGGAAAATCTGTTAGTAAACATTAACAAAATACATCCATGAAAACCGAGTTGCTCAAATGAAAAGATGCGGCGCATACAGGGAAATCTGCAATTAAAATCATTGAAGCTCAGCTGATCAATTTTATGTTAACTTATAGATGTGTAGTTGAAATACGTATACTCATATCGTGCAAAGAGTTTTTTGTAAACGTCGCTAATTGGACCTAGCATTGCCCAGTTGCCCTTCTAAGTACTAAGTGATTTATATTGCTTCCCTTAGGGGTTTGTCCGCGAATTCTCTTATCAAGTTATCTGGTGGACTGTTCGCCAGCTTAATAAGACTGAAAATCTTGTAAGTAAAAACGAGATATATGAAATGCCAAATCAACTGTACACATTACGAAATCCCTTTTGGTTCATGCACATAAATTCAGTTCGCGGAGGAAAGATTTTTCAAAGCCTAATCGGAGGTTTCTGAAATCTTAGGTTCCTTATCTCCAGTTTAATGTAAAGTTACGTTAAAACTTTGATATCATATTTTTGTGACACGCTACCATCTTGCATGGTATGTCAAGCAGGGTGCAAATTTAAGCGTTTTCTAGGTTTCTCTGGCTTTCTAATTCTAACTTACAACACGTTTTGCTAGGGATTTGTCATCAAATGCTTTAAAGTCATTACCGAGAAAAGTGTTTGCCAGCTTAAGAAACTTAGAAAAGCTGTAAGTTTTATAGTGCACGTTTGGCTTTTCATCTATTATTAAAACCTTCTTTCATTTTTTACCATTTACTGACATTATGCTTGTATTCGGAAAGGTACTCTTATAGGTGCCGCAGTATTCGCTGTAACTATCTTAGCACTATTAGAAATTCCAAAATAAGCAGCCTTGTTTAAGTCACGTACTAAAACACTATTTGAGTTGAATTTTTCACGACTTATTTTTTGGACGATAATAGAAATACACTGGCCTACTGTAAAATTTTTCTGTGAAAACAATGTGTACTAGAGGTAGCATTCACATACTCAACTCATGTTACGTTAGTATGGAAAACAAGAATGTAGAAGAACATTGGTTATTTTGTTATAAGATTTTTAAAACGGTAACTAAATAGTGTTGGTTCCCTATTAAGGCCCTAAAACGATGCAATAAGCAGGAATAGAAATCAAGGCTAGATGTTCATGTCTAATGAGACTTTCATAGGATACTGTTTCTGCAATTTTAGTGCGATGGTCGCATAAGGCCTGGAATCTATTTACGCTGGCCGAGCTATCTATCCAGATGAGGGGTCGCGAAGTTCTAAATATGCGTTGATAACAAAAGAATAACAGCGTTTTTACGTATCTCGTCTCCATTTTTCAAAGAAAAATATTATCTTTTCTTACAGGAATTTGTCCTCAAACGCTTTAATGTCTTTACATAACACGACTTTTGCTAACGCAAAAAGCTTGCAGACTTTGTAAGTAACATCTGAAAATCAAATTTAAACTGTAGCGCTCTTCGACTGAGTTTTAGTGTTAAACCTATGTTCATGATAATTGTTTATCAGTGAAAAGGGAAGATGCTTGAAGAAGGCTGTAAACATTGGAAACTGTTATTGCACTCACTTTGGTATCTGATTGGCAAGTAATTTCAATATGGGTGGCAGCAAAACAAAACCGATGCAAAGGTGAATTACTTTCGGCGCTTAATTGAACGGCTTTTATAGAAAAATGAAATATGAAGTAGTCATTGCATTCATCATACGAAAGTTTTTGGATTCCTGGAAGGAAAGAGAAAGAATGGGACAATAATCAAATTGAGTCGGTCTTGTGTAAATTTTGGATCAAATTTAAAAGGGGGTTTAAAGATGAAAAAGAAGTCGATAGATGTGCTTTAACGCAGCATGTTTTTTTTACAGGGAGTTGTCCTCGAATCCTTTGACTTCCTTACCTGAAATGTTGTTTGGCAACCTTTTTAATTTGTAAACAAAACAAAACAAGAACAAAAACAAAAATAAAAAATGGGTGGCTAAAAATTTGGAGTCTTCTCTAATCATTCTGGCTTTCTCGAGTCCGATTGGGGGCTTCAAGCGATTTTATAACTGTCATTGGATAGGCCTCAAAAAGTTCTTCGATGCTTAAAATTGAGTCAGTATTGCTAAGTGATCATGAGAAATAGTCTGTATTATATAAAGGACGTGAATGTTTTATCGAGGACTAAGACACTCTTTGAATCAATACCACCACTACATCCGGGACTGCATCAGGAGTATTCTACAAATGTACCACGAGGGGCGATGTCGAACAACGACGTTACATTTCCAGCCTTGTCAAACTTTGCTTAATAAGCTCGGTTTGTTGGTTGTTTGGAATATTAAATAGCCGCAAGATTTGTTGCAGTGAACGAAGAAGATGTAAATACACTTTCCGAACAACATGAGAACAAGAAAACCAAAACGAAAGCGCCGTATGATCTACAGATTTTAAAAGAATTTCTCGAAAGTTATTCTGTTTGTGCTGAACACCCCTCAAAGTTTTGTAGTGAAAGAAGGCTGAAAATAGACGTATCTGATGATTCAAGTCAGAGTCAGTAATCGAGTCTTCATTCAGCTGAATTATAAAACCAGTTCACATGTATTTTGGCCATGTACACCTTTTTAAAATTTGGGAACCAGGTAGTTTGTTTCCATTTTTACCCAGTATTTGTATAAAGCCAGCTTCTCAAACTCTACCATTTATGTTTATTGTCTAAGGATAAAAAGAAAAATACACGTTAGCTCAAAGATATGAATGATATGATATGATATATGATATATGATATATGATATATGATATATGATATATGATATATGATATATGATATATGATATATGATATATGATATATGATATATGATATATGATATATGATATATGATATGTAATATCCTCTATCTACAGCAAACTTTGCTGAAAATTGAGCCCACACATGAATGAAATATTTAATATCTTAAGTAAGCAAATGGCTTTTTAGTTGTCTCGTATTTAGTCTCCGTTTTTCCTAAAATAAATTTTTTTACAGGTATTTGCTCTCAAACGCTATAATCTCTTTACCTAACTCGACGTTTGCGAAGCTAAAAAGCTTGCAAACTTTTAAATTGTCGTTAGGAAATTAGTCTGGGTTTGACTGAATATTACAGTCAAACCTATGATAATGATTAGTGATAATAGTGATAATATGAGCGACAGCAAAACAAAACCGATGGAATGGTGGATTGCCTCCAGCGCTTAATTGAACGTCCCTCTGGATTTTGTAGGAAGACGAAATAATAGTAGTCGTTGTATCCATCATACGAACATCTTTCCCTCATGGAAGAAAAAACAATGAATGGAACGATAATCAAATTGAGTCGACCTTATGCAAATACGGAATTATCAAATTTAGAAATAACTGATCGTCAACGCCGAGTTGTCTCTCTAACAATCCCTTTAACAAAGTAGGGATGAAAAATTCTTGCTTTAACGCAACATGTTTTTCACAGGGATTTGTCTTCGAACTCTTTGACTTCCTTAACTGAAATGTCGTTTGCCAACCTATTGAACCTGCAAGGATTGTAAGTTACAATCAATAATGACTAGAGTTGGGAGTGGATTGCTTTTATAGGCTCCTGTTTTTGTTCATTTTGCAGTCATGGCTGAACTTAGGTCCACGTAGTATCCCATGGCAAGTTAAAGTTATATCCTCGAATATTATCTTTGAATATTGTTTATGTATTCGTTTTCTTTTCTCTTGACGAAACTTTTTATGGAATCGTGAATACTGTATATGTTGGCCTATTTAATTTTGAATGGAAATATCTCTATTAGTACTGACAGAGCATATAACTTTATTTGTCTACAAAGTCCTCGTGCTTGTTTCTTTGACAGGTCTTTATCCTTTAACTTCATTACCTCCTTACCCGAAAGAGTGTTTGTCAACCTTACAAGCCTTCATTTCCTGTAAGAGAAAGGGAACAAATACAACTTTGAACGTTTATTGCGGTTTAACGTTGTCATACTGCAATTTGCATTTGGAAATATCCTAGCCCCTCTCAACAATCACATGCTAAACAAAAGGCAATTACTTGACGCGTTCACGTTGTTTCCTGCGATAGAAGTGGGAAAAAGGTGAAGAGGACGTAAATATGAATCACTTAGACATTTCACAATGCTTCTCTCTCGATGTTGAGTTCTATTAGCGCCATCAAACTATTACAATATCAGCAATGACGGAAGCGTAAAGAAGGTGAATTGTCAGTCATTGCGACGAAGATTGTGCATCAGTTTTCTTACCCATAAGATTGGTCATGTTCTTCCACAGGCATTTGCAGTCGAATTCTATCAACTCGTTACCAGAGAGGATATTTGTCAATCTAAGAAATTTAAATCTTCTGTAAGTTAGAGCAAACATACCAACTAAGTTTACTATGGGATAAGATGAAAATTTGAAAAGTGACCTGCATGGGGTTGTTAACAAAGATATCCATAAGTTTAATAATGCAGATAATAACACTATAGACCGATTTAGCTTGTCTGTCCATTTCAGGTCTAAAGACAATTCCTAGTTTTATCTTCTGATATTTATTCTGCACGTAAATAAGAAGGATATTTGAAAGAAATAGTTCTTTACTAGTGCTCTCTCTCTTATGAACAAAACGTATGAGCTGAAACGGTATATCATCTGCAACATGATCTTTTCAACTCATAGAGGCTGTTCTTGTCAAAATTAAGAACTACAAGGGTATCGCAAACCTTAGAATTGTAGCATATTAATAAGTGGTAATCACAAAAAAACGAGAAATAATGGAGGAAGCAAAAGAAGAAACTTCATAGAACATTTTTATATGGCCGTTAAGGCTGTAAATCGTGATTGGATTTACTCTGGTATCTGACTGGTTAAAAATTCCAGTATGAGCGACAGCAAAATAAAACCGATGCAATGGTGGATTGCCTCATTCGCTTAATTGAACGTCATTCTAAGAATTTTATGACAAGGCGAATGATAGCTCGTTGTATCCATCTCACGAACATTTTTGCTTCATGGAGGAAAAGACAATGAATTGGACGATAATCAAATTGTGTCGACCTTGTGCAAATACGGAGTTATCAAATTTAAAAATAACTGATCGTTAACTCCGGATTGTCTCTCAAACAAACCTTTTGTGATTCAATAAAGCGAACTAAGGATGAGAAAAATCAATAGATATGCTTAAATGCAGCATGTCTTTCTCAGGGATTTGTCCTCAAACTCTTTGACTTCCTTACCTAAAATGTTGTTTGCCGACCTATTGAAGTTGCAAGGATTGTAAGTAACAATAATAACTGCATTTAAGCGTGGAATGCCTTTAAAAGCTGCTGTTTGTGCTCATTTTCGCATTCATGCGTTGTATCCCTTGGCAAGTTAACGCATTCGGCCATTTCGTTCCACCTGAACAAAGAAACGGGTACCAATAACCTCTCACTATGCTTTTTCAGTTTTATTTAACAATTCACTTTTCTGCAGGAGATATATCCTCGAATATTATCTTTGAATATTTTTGATGTCTGGTTCAGTTTTTTCTGTGATGTGTTCTTTTTTCTTGATGAAAACTTTATGGAATTGTGAATACTGTTTAGCGCGGCCTATTTAAATATGAATGGAATTATCTCTATTAGTACTCAGAGAGCATATAACGTTATTTGTTGAAAAAGTCCTCGTGTCTCTTTCTTTGACAGGTCTTTATCGTTTAACTTCATTACCACCTTACCCGAGAGAGTATTCGTAGACCTTACAAGCCTTCATTTCCTGTAAGAGAATTCAAAGGAAACAAATATAACATTGAACGTTTATTGCGGTTTAACGTTGTCATACTGTATCTGCATTTGGAAATATCCTAGCCCTCTCAACAATCCCATGCTAAACAAAAGTCAGTTACTCGGCGCGTTCACGTTGTTTCCTGTGCTTGAAATGGGAAAAAGGGTGAAGAGGAAGTAAATATGAATCACTTAGACATTTCTGAAAAGTTGCAACTTCCATAAAAATTTCTTAAAATCACATTGCTTCTCTCTCGATGTTGAGTTCTATTAGCGCCATCGACCTATTACAATATCAGCAATGACGGGGGCGTGAGGATGGTGAAATGTCAGTTATTGCGACGAAGACTGGGCATCATTTTTCCTACCCATAATATTGGTCATATTCTTTCACAGGTATTTGCAGTCGAATTCTATCAACTCGTTACCGGAGAGGATATTTATCAACCTACGAAATCTAAATCTTCTGTAAGTTAGAGCAAACATATCAACTAAAAAAGGTGAAGAGGACATAAATATGAATCACTTAGACATTTCACATTGCTTCTCTCTCGATGTTGAGTTCTATTAGCGCCATCAAACTATTACAATATCAGCAACGACACGGGGGCGTACGGATGCTGAATTGTTAGTTATGGCGACGAAGATTGGGCATTATTTTTCCTGCCCATAACATTGGTCATGTTCGTTCACAGGTATTTGCAGTCGAATTCTATCAACTCGTTACCGGAGAGGATATTTATCAATCTACGAAATCTAAATCTTCTGTAAGTTAGAGCAAACATATCAACCAAAATTACTGTGGAATAAGATGAAAATTTGAAAAGTGACCCGCATGGAGTTGTTAAGAAAGGCATCCATACGTTTAATAATGCAGACAATAACACTATAGATCTAACTTGTCTGTTCATTTCAGGTCTAAAGGCAATTCCTAGCTTTATTTCTTGTAAATTCTACGTTCAAGAGGGATATTTGAAAGAAATAGCTCTTTATTGTTGCTCTCTCTCTCTGATGAACAAAATTTATGAGCTGAAACGGTGTATCACCTGCAACATGATCTTTGAAACTTACGAGGGCTAGTCTTGTCAAAACTAAGAACTACCAAGGTATCGGGCAAAAACTTAGAGTTGTAGCAAAGTAGTAAGTGGTAATCATTGAAAAAAGTGAAATAATGGAGAAAGAAGAAACTTCATAGACCACTTTTTATAAGGCTGTTAAGGCTGTAAATCGTGATTGGATTTACTCTGGTATCTGACTGGTTAAAAATTCTAATATGAGCGACAGCAAAACAAAACCGATGGAATGGTGGATTGCCTCCGGCGCTTAATTGAAAGTCACTTTAAGGATTTTGTAGGAAGACGAAATAATAGTAGTCGTTGAATTTATCATACGAACATTCTTGATTCACAGAAGAAAAAGCAATGGATGGGACGATAATCAAATTGAGTCGACCTTGAGCAAATACTGGATTGTCAAATTTAAAAATAACTGATCGTTAACTCCGGATTGTCTCTCAAACAAACCCCTTGTGATTCAAGAAAGCGAAGTTAGGTTGAAAAATTCTTGCTTTAACGCAACATGTTTTTCACAGGGATTTGTCCTCGAACTCTTTGACTTCCTTACCTGAAATGTTGTTTGCCAACCTATTGAACCTGCAAGGATTGTAAGTTACAATCAATAATGACTGGAGTTGGGAGTGGATTGCTTTTATAGGCTCCTGTGTTTGTTCATTTTCGTAGTCATGGCTGAACTTAGGTCCACCTAGTATCCCATGGCAAGTTAAAGTTATATCCTCGAATATTATCTTGGAATATTTTTTATGTATTCGTTTTCTTTTCTCTTGACGAAACTTTTTATGGAATTGTGAATACTGTATAGCTTGGCCTATTTAATTTTGAATGGAAATATCTCTATTAGTACTGACAGAGCATATAACTTTATTTGTCTACAAAGTCCTCGTGCTTGTTTCTTTGACAGGTCTTTATCCTTTAACTTCATTACCTCCTTACCCGAAAGAGTGTTTGTCAACCTTACAAGCCTTCATTTCCTGTAAGAGAATTCAAAGGGAACAAATACCACATTGAACTTTTATTGCGGTTTAACGTTGTCATACTGCAATTTGCATTTGGAAATATCCTAGCCCCTTATGAGAAGGCGAAATGATAGTAGTCGTTTTATCCATCTTAGGAACATGTTTGCCTCATGGAAGAAAAGACAATGGATTGAACGATAATCAAACTGAGTCGACCTTTTGCAAATACGGAATTATCAAATTAAAAAATAACCGATCGTTAACTCCGGATTGTCTCCCAAACAAACTTTTTGTGATTCAATAAAGCGAACTAAGGATGAGAAAAATCAATAGATATGCTTCAATGCAGCATGTCTTTCTCAGGGATTTGTCCTCAAACTCTTTGACTTCCTTACCTAAAATGTTGTTTGCCGACCTATTGAAGTTGCAAGGATTGTAAGTTACAATAATAACTGCATTTAAGCTTGGAATGATTTTAAAAGCTGCTGTTTGTGCTCATTTTCGCATTCATGCGTTGTATCCCTTGGCAGGTTAACGCATTCGGCCATTTCGTTCCACCTGAACAAAGAAACGGGTTCCAATTATTTTCTCACTATGCTTTTTCAGCTTTATTTCACAATTCACTTTTCTACAGGAGATATATCCTCGAATATTATCTTTGAATATTTTTTATGTCTTCTTTTCTCTGTTCTCTTGATGAAAACTTTATGGAATTGTGAATACTGTTTAGCGCGGCCTATTTTAATAAGTTCATTCATTTCCTGTAAGAGAATTCAAAGGGAACAAAATATAACATTGAACGTTTATCGCGGTTAACGTTGTCATACTGCATTTGCATTTGGAAATATCCTGGCTCTCTCAACAATCACATTCTAAACAAAAGTCAGTTACTTGGCGCGTTCACGTTGTTTCCTGTGCTTGAAATGGGAAAAAGGGTGAAGAGGAAGTAAATATGAATCACTTAGACATTTCTGAAAAGTTGCAACTTCCATAAAAATTTCTTAAAATCACATTGCTTCTCTCTCGATGTTGAGTTCTATTAACGCCATCGACCTATTACAATATCAGCAATGACACGGGGGCGTAAGGATGGTGAGTTGTCAGTTATTGCGACGAAGATTGGGCATCATTTTTCCTACCCATAACATTGGTCATATTCTTTCACAGGAATTTGCAGTCGAATTCTTTCAACTCGTTACCGGAGAGGATATTTATCAATCTACGAAATCTAAATCTTCTGTAAGTTAGAGCAAACATATCAACTGAAATTACTGTGGGGTGAGATGAACATTTGAAAAGTGACCCGCATGGAGTTAAGAAAGACATCCATACGTTTAATAATGCAGATAATAACACTATAGACCAATCTAACTTGTCTGTCCATTTCAGGTCTAAAGGCAATTCCTAGCTTTATTTCTTGTAAATTCTACGTTCAAGAGGGATATTTGAAAGAAACAGCTCTTTATTGGCGCTCTCTCTCTGATGAACAAAATTTATGAGCTGAAACGGTGTATCACCTGCAACATGATCTTTGAAACTTACGAGGGCTATACTTGTCAAAACTAAGAACTACCAAGGTATCGAGCAAAAACTTAGAGAGTTGTAGCAAAGTAGTAAGTGGTAATCATTGAAAAAAGTGAAATAATGGAGAAAGCAAAAGAAGAAACTTCATAGACCACTTTTTATAAGGCTGTTAAGGCTGTAAATCGTGATTGGATTTACTCTGGTATCTGACTGGTTAAAAATTCTAATATGAGTGACAGCAAAACAAAACCGATGGAATGGTGGATTGCCTCCGGCGCTTAATTGAAAGTCACTTTAAGGATTTTGTAGGAAGACGAAATAATAGTAGTCGTTGAATCTATCATACGAACATTCTTGATTCACAGAAGAAAAAGCAATGGATAGGACGATAATCAAATTGAGTCGACCTTGTGCAAATATCAAATCAAATTTAAAAATAACTGATCGTTAACTCCGGATTGTCTCTCAAACAAACCCCTTGTGATTCAAGAAAGCGAAGTTAGGTTGAAAAATTCTTGCTTTAACGCAACATGTTTTTCACAGGGATTTGTCCTCGAACTCTTTGACTTCCTTACCTGAAATGTTGTTTGCCAACCTATTGAACCTGCAAGGATTGTAAGTTACAATCAATAATGACTAGAGTTGGGAGTGGATTGCTTTTATAGGCTCCTGTGTTTGTTCATTTTCGCAGTCATGGCTGAACTTAGGTCCACGTAGAATGCCATGGCAAGTTAAAGTTATATCCCCGAATATGTCTTCTTATTCTTTCCTCTTAATGAAAATTTAATGAAATTGTGAATACTGTATAGTTCGGCCTATTTAATTATGAATGGAAATATCTCTAGTAATACACGGACAGCATATAACTTTATTTGTTCAAAAAGTCCTCGTACCTGTTTCTTTAAGAGGTTTTTGTCGTTTAACTTCATTACCTCCTTACCCGAAAGAGTATTCATGGACCTTACAAGCCTTCATTTCCTGTAAGAGAATTCAAGGGAAACAAATATAATATTGAACGTTTATTCCGGTTTAATGTTGTCATACTGCATTTGCATTTGGAAATATCCTAGCCCCTCTAGACCATCACATGCTAAATCAAAGGCAATTACTTGACACGTTCACGTGGTTTCCTGCGCTTGAAGTGGAAAAAGGTGAAGAAGACGTAAATATGAATCACTTAGACATTTCTTAAAAGGTGCAACCTCCACTGAGTTTCTTAGAATCACATTACTTCTCTCTCGATGTTGAGCTCTATTAGCGCCATCGACCCGGTACAATATCAGTCATGACGGAGGCGTTAAGATGGTGAAGTGTCAGTTATTGCGACGAAGATCGGGCATCATTTTCCTTACCCATAAGATTGTTCATGTTCTTTCACAGGCATTTGCAGTCGAATTCTATCAACTCGTTACCAGAAAGAACATTTGTTAATCTAAGAAATCTAAATCTTCTGTAAGTTAGAGCAAACATACCAACTAACATTACTTCGGGATTAGATGAAAGTTTTGAAAAGTGACCCCATGGAGTTGTTAGGAAAGACATCTATACGTTTAATAATGCAGATAATAACACTATAGACCAATTTAGCTTGTCTGTCCATTTCAGATCTAAAGGCGATTCCCAGCTTTATCTTCTGTAAATTCTGCTTACATATGCGCTAAATAAAAAGGATATTTGAAAGAAACATTTCTCTGATGGTGCTCTCTCTGATAAACAGAACTTATCAGCTGAAACGATCTACTACTTGCAAAATGATTTTTCAATTCATAAAGGCTAATCTTGTCAAAATTAAGATAAGAATAGGGTATCGGGCAAAGGCTTAGAATTGTAGCAAATTAACAAGTGGTAATCACTTCAAAAACAAGAAATAATGGAGGAAGCAAAAGGAGAAACTTCATAAAACAATTTGGTAAGGCTGTTAATACTGTTAATGCTGTAACTCGTGATTGGATTTACTCTGGTATCTGACTGGTTCAAAATTCCAATACGAGCGACAGCAAAACAAAACCGATGTAATGGTGGATTTTCTCCAGCGCTTAATTGAACGTCACTCTAAGGATTTTATAGGAAGACGAAATAATAGTAGTCGTTGTATCCATCATACGAACATTCTTGATTCGTGGAAGAAAAAAACAATGGATGGGACGATAATCAAATTGAGTCGACCTTGTGCAAATACGGAATTATTAAATTTTTAAAACAACTGATAAAATAGACATGCTTTAATGTAGCATGTTTTTTCATAGGGATTTGTCCTCGAACTCTTTGACTACATTACCTGAAATGTTGTTTGCCAACCTCTTGAAGCTACAAGAATTGTAAGTTACAATAATAACTAAATTAAACCATGGAATGCTTTTAAAGGCTGCTTTTTGTGTTCATTTTCGTAGTCATACTTTGTATCCCTGGGCAAGTTAATGCATTCGGCCATTTCGTTCCACCTGAATGTAGAAAGAGGTACCAAGAACCTCTCACTATCCTTTCTCAGTTTTATTCATCAATTCACTTTTCTACGGGAGATATAACGCTTATAACTTTATTAGTCTAAAAAGTCCTGGTGTCTGTTTCTTTGACAGGTTTTTGTCGTTTAACTTCATTACCTTCTTACCCGAAAGAGTGTTCATCAACCTTACAGGCCTTCATTTCCTGTGAGAGAATTCAAAGGGAACAAATACAACATTGAACGTTTATTCCAGTTTAACGTTGTCAAACTACATTTGCATCTGGATATCCTAGCCCCTCTCAACCATCACAAGCTAAACTAAAGGCAACTACTTGACACGTTCACGTTGTTTCCTGCCCTTGAAGTGGGAAAAAGGCGAAGACGACGTAAATGTGAATCCCCTAGACCTTTCTGAAAAGTTACAAGCCCAATGAAGCCATCAAACTATTACAATATCAGCAATGACGGGGGCGTAAAGATGGTGAATTCTCGGTCATTGTGACGAAGATTGGGCATTGTTTTTCTTTATTGCCATAAGATCGGTCATGTTTTTTTTACAGGCATTTGCGGTCGAATTCGATCAACTCGTTGCCGGAGAGGATATTTGTCAATCTAAGAAATCTAACACTTCTGTAAGTTAGAGCAAACATACCAACTAAGATTACTCGGGGATTAGATGAAAATTTAAAACAAATGACAGTTTTCCAAAAGCCTTGCAACATCAAGTTCACTTATTTTCAGCAACGAGGGGATGCCCTCCTGAAAGACCTAATATTTACAAGGATTTTACCAATACCTATCAAACTCGTGACTGTTTCATACTAGTTTTTTTATAGCGCGCGAGACAGTTTCTAGTCCTCATGGAAAATCTTCACATCTTCGTGTTACAATTTCTCAAAGCTACTTGTGTCCCTGATTGTGATATTCTCTCTTACTAGCGTAGTCTCCATAAACGAGTGGGTTAAACGACCAATAGATGCGACAGAACCTGTTTTTTTTAAAATTATTTCTTTACTTATTTCTGTGCCCTTTTGTTTTGTTACCCTTAGGTATTTTTCTTCGAACTCAATTACTTCTCTACCTGAAACAGTTTTTGCCAACTTAACAAACTTGGAACATCTGTGAGACTCAACATGAGCACAAAGCATTAAGTCTTACCCTTGACATTACTAAATAATCACTGTTTTGTAATTTGATGGCTGCATTTGATAGACATCGAATCCTCAAAGCTTCCATGGTGCGAGACTCAAAATCATTCTAAAACTAAGAAATTTAACTGTAGTATTTCTATCTCATGTGAAATTTTGAAAATATTTCTTATCTTCTACCTTTTTCAAAATTCAGATCTTTTTCCTCAAACGCCATCACCTTTTTGCCAGAAAGAGTGTTTGCTAACTTGGGAAACTTGAACACAATGTATGTAACAACAATGACATAGGCATGCCTCACAATAGAGCTCCATGAACTTAACTACGTGAGGAGTTTTGCTACTGTCTTTAACAGAACGCTCCGCAGTAAAGCGGCCAAAAATTGGGAGCTTTCGCCAACAAGTCAGACTCTCCCGAGTCCGATCGAGGGCTTCAAAAGAATGCAATATTGTATTTTGATAGGTCCCAAAAAGTTCTTTCATACAGGGACTAATTGTGTCAGTATTGTCAATTGATGAGGAAAAATTAACTTGACTTTGTCACATGACCCATACAGCTATGCGAGAGCAATTCCATAGAGAACCAAAGTGAAAGTTAGTTTGGTTGAAATATATAATTTTCGAAATTTTCAACACTAAGTGGTCATAACAAAATGGTTATTGACTGAGTTAGTTCGGGCCGGACTGGAAAACAAGGAGTTTAGGATGTCGCTACGGCGAAGTGTTGTAAAATGTTGCTGAAAAAACGTAATCTATTTTCCTGTAAGACTTTCGCCAATAACTCGATGGGTTCGAGTGACTTAACTGCTGTCGAGGTTTCCTTGTTCAGAGGACGTAAAAGTTTGGAATTTCACGTTTAAGATCTGTATGGGACGGCTAAAAAATCTAGAAAGTATTAAAACGCTCGGGTTTTGCTGCTGTTATGCGAAGTACATCTTTTGTTGGCGACCTTCTCGTTGCCGTCACCGTCGTGGTTTTCTTAAATTCCCTAATATTTCGATTTTGGTCATGAAACTCGAACCTTGCTGCGCACGTTCATTATGAAATGACCGAGAGCCAAATATATGCCAGTTCGCCCCTCCCACACAGTCAATAATCATATAATAGGGAATTCTGCGGAAAATTACGCCTGCGCGTGATTGAAATATTTAATGAAAACGAATAAGATAAACGTCAGAAAACTGTAAATTGCATGATATTGTGTGGTATATATCTAGTAGTTGTTGAATGTCACAATTTTTACAATGGTGGCTTTAAGATGTTTCCAATAAATTCAAAGAAAATCTCTATATTTAAGGGTTAAAATTTAAATTGATAGTGAACTTAAGACACTTCTTCCGGTTTGCAGAAAGATATAATAGGAAAGGAGTTTGATTTTTTTCAGGTCTTTTTCATCGAACGCCATATATTCTCTGCCCGAGAAAGTGTTTAACAACCTAATACTTATTAACTTGTAAGTAAACCCTTTTTTGTTTTCAATAATCATCAGACAAACACAGCTCGATGATGTTTCACATAGATTACTTTAACAGTGAAGGGATTGATGCCATTTCGATCTTCGACATCTTATGACAACTGATGTCGCCTTCCTTCGATTTGCCCTTCTGTTTATCCGTACGTCCGTAAGTCCATCTGTCTGTCTGTTTGTTTACCTCTTCATCCACGTTTCTATATCTATGTCCCTGTTTCCCTCTGTCTCGGTTTTCACTTACCTTTTAGGTCAATCGCAGTTTTATTCTAATCACCATACAATGCGTTTATTTCGTAAGGGATTTCTCCAGGAACTCTATTACCAATTTACCTGAGGGGTTGTTTGCAAAGGCGGATAAAATTCACACTATGTGAGTAATTGCTGACACTAAACAAATTGAAAAGGAAAAAAAACTATGGTATGTATCAATTTGATTTGAAATTGGAGTGAATAGCATATACCTGTATTTACATCAATTTGCGTTTAACTCAACCTGTGATACACGTGTAAAACAAACAAGTAATTTTTTGGTTTGCTCTCCTCTTTCCATTCTTCTTCTTTTCTTCTGACCCACTACTTTGTTTACTTTTATTACAATCAGCAATCTTTCTTACAACCTCATTACCACGCTGCCAGAGAGAGTGTTTGCTAACTTGTCAAAATCACTGCGATTTCTGTACGTATCAAAATGCTTTAAACTCATTGAAGGCAGTAAGAGTTTTAATTATCAGCCCATAAAAGAATAGTAAAAAACATTTCATTCCTGGAAGGGGCTGACTTTTCGTTATGTAATCGTTGAAATAATTTTGTCCATATTTGTTCTAGGGATATTTCCTCGAATAATATTACCTCTTTACCTGAGAAATTGTTTTCCAACCTAACAAAACTGGAATATCTGTAAGTATTAATAAGAATACCAAGTAAACCTGATGAAAAACTGTGTCTGAAAATAATTGTGAATAAAAGGGTTAAAACATATGTCTTTTGTTTCCAGTTATTTAACTTCTAACCGCATAGGCGTTTTACCTGAGGGAGTGTTTACCACCTCAACAAGTCTTCTGTATCTGTACGTGATCAAAGTGGTTGAGTTTTCATTCTATGTTGATTAAAGAAACGTGCTTTTCGAGTAGACGTACAACTTTCACTCTTTCACACACGAAAGAAGAAAGAAAAAGTAGAAATGAACAGTAGAAGGTCTCTAAACATGAGCATTGTAAGTAAATTTTTTTGTTCAGATTGCTAAGCCACAACCTTTTGGAATACATTCCACATCAAGCCTTCTTCAAATTGGAGCAGCTCCAGTTACTGTAAGTTCTCTATCACTGGGGCACCGCCCAGTACTTATCAACGCCATAATAGACGATTGGGAAAAGCTATACTTTAAGCCTAAATAATTTGATTCAATATTCTGATGTAGCACAACTTCTCAATATTCAGATTGAAAAAATGACATTTTTTAAACGAAGTTTATCTAAAAAGTTATACATCAAGTATGTTTCAGCGTTTTTTAAGAGTAGGTCCAGCTTTCTGCATATGAAACGATTGTCTAAAGCAGAGAGACACACACACACACACACACACACACACACACACACACACACACACACACACATATATATATATATATATATATATATACATATACTATTCGGCGAACTTTCCTGAGGTGTTTCGTTTTTCAAGGGCACTTTCATATAACCCTATTAAGGCAGTTGGGAAGGAAGCATTTCGTCTTGGTTCTAGCGACCTAAACATGTAAGTACTATGATCTGAAGTTCCACGCTCCATTTCCGTCTTGACAGCCATTTGTATTTGCAATGTAACGTAAATGAGGCTAGTATTGTTTCCATTACCCTTTTTAAAACATCATGTTTAAAGCCCTTGGTAGGGAACGGTGTACTTTAAAAACAGTTTAGTTTTGGCTTGGCAAGACTTAACATGGCGTGGCATCGTAATGCAGCGAAGGAAAGGTAACAATTTGTTTATGATTAAAATGAGAAAAACGCAAACAGCTGAGTGCAGTGTCTTGTGTCTTGTAATTGAATAGGATCCTTCATAGAAATGGTTGTTTTATACTTACTTTCGGAATCAAACGATTTTAAATTTTGCTTCCTTATTTTAAAGAATCATCTCTCGATTTTCTTTAAATTCTATCTTTAAAATGTCACTTAATTCAAGAACCACTCATTATTCCATGAACCATGTCACCTCAAAGGGTATCTTTCAATTTCTAAGATTTTCGTATATTTGCTATTTTTTTATCAAAATATGTCTTTTTTCTCTGCAGATATCTTATACAGACAGATTGGAAAGTATTGACTTTCGAATCCTTTGACAGGATCAGGATTGTTGATAATTTTGAACTGTGATGTTTCTTTATTACCATTTAAAACATAATTTCATCTGAGCATTTTGCCGATTAAGAAATTTTCAACTGTGTCGAACGTTGTTTTATGATTGGCTTAGAAAACTCTCGCTATCCTCTAAACCTTAGAAATACTAAAAGAGATTCACTGGAACTTAACGAAAAGAGCATCATTTTCAAAAATGTATTAATTTTGAGTTCTCTCGGGCTCAGTTGTGATTCCCGGACCTTTTCTCAGACAAGCTCTATGGAATTTTCAAGAGGGTATCAGTGGTACCAATCTTTAGTTAAAAATTGATAAATTTTCAAGCAATGGACGTAAAAAAGTTAAATTTTTTTTCTCTTTAAACACAACAGAAATTTACCGCTGGCCGTTAGTTTTTTCAGCATTAGCCGTAAACGTCGTCTCCTATCGAGACTGAGGTTTAGGTGTTACTGTATAAGTCGGATAGCGATCAAAATCTGTAACTTCTTCCAACCTTATAACATGGCTTGTTTTCATAATTAGACTGTATCTGACTTTAAAACTTAAACTCAGAATCATATCTAGAGTCACGAGTTCAATAATGGTTTTGAATGGTATGCTATTGGGAACTTTCTAATAAACCTTAGATCTGGAAGACAAAATGAAAATATATAACACGAGATGTATAGCTAATCCAGGTGTCACACTGCGTACATTTTTCTAGTGTCGCATGGAATCGCACTCCAAGGACAGTGACATACTATTCACAACAAGCCTCTTACACAATACATATGTCAGTATACGCCTTTTGTTACATAACAGTCGAAGTGCATCTGCATACACTGCGACAATTTGCGGTGCTGAAGATGCAAATGACATTTAGGAACACCGTAGTCTTGTAGTCTTGATTCGCCAACAAGCAACTAAAGATTTGTTCGGGACCAGTGATTGGCTGGATTTAAACTTTTAAGATCTGCCCTTTAATCGCTTCATATGGTCTGCGTAGCCTCGTTTTACAAAGAGACACAGTTGGCGTTGTCGAATACCTCCAGTTTGTGATTTTAGAATCTATTAAATATCTCGCAAGTTTGCCCTGAAATGTAAACATGGCTTAGCATTGGAGAAGTGAATTCGAAACATAATCTGCCAATTGCCTCTAGGATTACAGAAATGGCACTTAATAAAGATAATTTCTCGTTTGGCTTTTTTTTTTTTTTCGCGAGTGTAATACACGCTTCAGAAGATTTTTTGAATTTGGATTAACCAGGACTATCGATTCACTTTCAGAAATCCACAGGCGGCTAAACCGATTCAAATGCCAGCCGGATCAATCTACTACCATTTTAAACGCGCTCTGCTGTCCATGGGGTTTACGGAAATATCTGAGGGAATTTTTATGCCCTGTCCGACAGGGACATTTTCAAAATTTTCAGGGGAAGAAATCCAAAAGTGCGTGGAGTGTCCTCCTGGTAATCATTTTTTAAACATAACTTAGACACAATGGCGCTATGATTTGTCAAAAACATATCGGCTTTTATCCCGGAAACCCAAAGAAAACTACAACATTTTCCTGTCTTGAGAAATAGCGCCACACAATAAGAATTCCCAGATTTTGATTTATTGAAGGCCTTTGGTTTGGAGAAAACGAAGTGGGAAATCTGAACGCTGAATACGTCGATAAATGCGTTATTTTCCTTAAAATTTATTAAATTTTCTACTTAAATGTGCAACTGATTTTAACTAACTGATTGCTACGTTTCAAGCTTTACTTGTGGGCTGCGCAGTAAAAGTTAAAGAACTTCAGAAATTCACGGCTACATTTCCCCAAATGCTCACTAAGAAGAAAAAGTTGCCATTGTTTTCATTCAAAAAGATATGTAGATATTATCAGATCACGAATATGTACAGCTAAAGCAGTATTGTCATCCAAGCAATCGATTAAGTTGGGTAAGGAAATGAGTTATCCAACAAAATGTGTTAGCTGATTGCTGTTATATACGATCTTCATTATCTTTCTTTTCTTGGTTTTTACGAACTCTTTCTTGATTTCAACTTTTTTCCAGGTGGATTTTACTCAGATACTCTTGGCTACGTGGCAGAAGGCTGTAAAAAATGTCCCAAAGGTTCCTATGTCGCTTACGACAAAAGGCCAGGAAAATCAGTTTTAGATTGCAAGACATGCCCCCTCGGTAAAGAAAATTATGTCAATTATGTTGGTATAGTTCTAGACTGAATCATGATCATCTTCATGATTGTTTCTAAGTTAATATAGATTACGGTTGCTTCCTATTCTGTGTTGAGATTCGGACATGTGAACCAAAAAAAACAAAAACAAAAAACGAAGTGTCAACCGTCGAAAAACAGAAATGTATTTGAAAAAGGAGATGAGAGTATTCCCATTACTCTAGCGATTCCATTGCTAGCCTAATGACAAGCTCCCATTGGTGCTGCAGCATGAGGCAACAAGACCTGCGAAATTCTATCCGGCGATTGGAGCGATTTTGTGAGACTTAGGTGGGGAGTTGAAATTTGAATAAGAGCCTCTCGTTTGCGTGCCATAGCCTTTCCGAAACTCTCGCACGCTCGCATCGCTTTCCCGTTCAAAACACGTGGAATTTGCTGCTCGTGTCTCAGGAGCAATGAAAGCTTGCGAGCTGGCTACCTCCTTGCTGATGAACGCAATAGTCTTGGGACACCTCAAGCACTTTAAGCACCGGAAAGAGGCGATCGTAGGAAATATTTGTATATCTTATGCCCCAAGTGCGTTCCTTCAATAATATTTAAAACAAACACACTATATAGCTATAGAAAGAGTCTGCTTCAAAATCTTTAACGCTTTCAGGAACGGAAAGTGACTTTTTCGCTGGATATCGTGCTTGTCAATGTTTGATAGAACACTATCGAACCCATCTATTTCACGGGTGTTACAAATGTAACCAGAAAAGTGGACTGATATGTCAGGATGATTATGCTTCATTGAAACGTGGTCATTGGTGGCAATGGCGCAACGAATCGTACAAATATCGTTACAAAGATTTCATAAAGAATCTCCTGGCGTCATTACCAGCTCTCGATGAATTCTCCGTGCAGTATCCTCATCCTATTCCGACGCCGTACAAGTGTCCAGTGGAAGACTCCTGCAAAGGTGGTTTGGACTCAGAATGCGCACTTGGATACGAGGGCCCTCTCTGTGCAGTTTGCAGCTCAGGATACTACAAGCAGTTAAAACCCTGCATTAAATGTCCTTCAAAGCCGTGGATTTTGGGACAGATGTCGGTGATTGCTACGATAGTATTTTTAATCATTGCTTTTGCCGTGTGGAAGAGAAGGCAGAAGAGTGGGAGGACAAGAGGACAGTTTTTAATAGACTCAATCCTGTCCAAACTAAAAATCGTCATCGGCTTTTATCAGGTTACGCATGGCCTGCTCGAAGCATTTTCCTATATTAAATGGCCAGATTCGCTTCAGGATGTAGCAAAGTATTCGGGGATACTGCAAATGAATTTTCTTCAGGTTTCTCCCATTCACTGTCTTTCCTCAGGATTGTCGATGGACGCCTTCGGAGATCTGTCATTAATTCTTTCAATTAATGCCACTGTCATCGCCCTATCTTTTCTGGTTTATGGTTTTCGCAAGGTATGTATCATCAGAAACAGAAGCTTGGAAAATGAAGAAAGGCTGAATAAGATATCAGAGACCAAAGAACTTGTGTGCAGAAATTTGTTTTTCTTTCTATATGTTACTTACCTGAGTACTTGCACAAAGACAGCTAATGTTCTACCATTCGCGTGCAGGAAACTCTGCAAAGATGAAAATGAAGATTCGTGCAACGAATACCTAAAAGCCGACTACAGCATCAAGTGCCATGGACCAATGTATAGCCAATTCGAAATTGTTGCCTACATTTCAACTACTTACATCTTTGCATTACCAACCGCCTCATTCATCGCTCTCTGGAGACATCGAAAAGTACTACCGACATCAACATCTGGTGAACCGGCCTATGATTCAGAGGCAGTTGCAGGATTGCGCTTCCTTTTCGAAAACTATAAATCTCGTTCGTGGTATTGGGAACTGGTTGAAACGTCTCGCAAAATAATCCTCACATCAGTCCTCATTCTAGTGGGACAACAGAGCAGATCGTACATTGGCTTGGCATGGGTCGTTGCTGGAATGTATGGAGTCCTTTTCTCCTGGATTAAACCCATACAGGACTCGTTCGAGAACAGGTTGATGACGACGTCCCTCGCCGTCACCGTTGTGAATTTGGGTGTGGGAGCAGTGAGCAGGATTCCGGTTGAGAATGTTTCAAAGGATTTCGACATAAACACTGATACCCTGGCAATGAAGATCTTGATACTTGGAGCGAATTCTCTGGTCCTTGGTCTACTTGTTGGTAAGAAGTTCCACTTTCGGCTTTTTTAGATTGCCTAGCTGAGAGATGACTAACAATGGAAACGTCTCACTATTCATTTTTCTGTCATTTTTTTTGCTGGCTTAATCAATGATTAAAGTCTCTACGTAGCAAAGTGCTAGCCATGCAGCAGTTTGATAAGCCAAAATATAGACAAAGTAAAAACTAAATGCAAAATTAAAAAAAAAAAATGGGAACAAGGAAATAAAACAAAACACGCCGAAAAGCTGACAAATTATCAACAGACAATAAGGTACTTCCGATCTCAAATTTCATTAACTTATAAAATTAAAAAAGTTGGACCAAGAGATCCGAAATGATAAATTGAGTTAGCTTCTTTCCCTTTCTTTTTGAGTGGTAAAGCATGAAAAGTGATCATGATGTTGATATTTTTTCTAAACCTACAGCATTTTACCCTTACTGGAGTGCAAATTACTTGGGGTTAGAAATAATGATAATATCAAATTTACAAATGATAAATGATAAAACAGTTAAAAAATAGAATCTGAAAAGATATGAGTGGAGTATTTACATTCAGGTTATGCTATTTTTTCCTCTATAGTCCAGTATTTGGTATATTTGCATCAGTACTTCAATGAATGGCGAAAAAACCCGCAATGGTCTTTCTCGTGCTGCCTGGCTCTGCTTCTTCCTCTAAATGACATGCAGGGAGACGTTCAAGGTGTGGTTGGTACGAATATCCTTGACACCCAGCTAGAAACAGGAATGATAGACAAACCGTCCATTGCTGATTGCGTTCAAGATAGCGGAGCCTTAAGTTTCGCTCTAGCCCCTGCAGAAGGCGAAGGCTATCATGTTGCTCATTTGGAATCACAGGAGCAAATCCATATTGGTACGAGTAAGCGTAGCCTGGTAAAATCTAATCGTGGGACACAAACGGACTTGTTTACGCCATCAGCGTATGTTGTAACTGCACAACAATCATTTCAAGACACGTATATGTAGTAGACATCTTGGTGAGTGGAAAGAATTGCTTATAAAAGTTAATGCATTTAATAACACAGGCAAGTTACATTACAAACAGCAAAATGAAGCAGCATGACCTTTTTCTACAACGATATTCCTTCTCAAGATGAATATTTCCAAAAACATAAGATTGGATGAATCCGTTATATTGTGATAAATCTCAAACCCAACCTAAACCTTTCCCGTTTGTGGTATCCAAAGATGTGAGGCAAAAGGGAGAAAAATGTTGATACTTTTTCACAATTTCGGTATTTATGTATTTTTATTGTTTTCATTTAGTAATGCGGATAGTCTTTTATTAGTCGATTGTTCATTTTAAAGTTTTTTTTCTTGTCTGGGGTTTTAAAGAAAAATTCCAAACGATCAGTTATTATCCAAATTTATTGCCAGAGAGCGACCTACGTACACAATAATACACACGCAAAAATAATGGCAATACTGAATATAATTAATATATTGATTCATTCACTTAGGGTTACAGTGAGGTCGTTTAGACACCTTTGCATCATCCCAACATAAACATTTTTATTTTCTTATTTCTTTTTTCAGATTTCAAAACCCTACGCGGGAAAATAATGTGACCTGCAGTTCAACCAAGACATAATTTACTCCTTTGTCTCATGCTTATTTAATTTTCATCTCACTCACTATTTGCGCTCTGCAACAGCTTTTTGTAGACTTACTATATCAATCCCCAGTTACACCGAAATTATAAAAAATTTAAGAACAAAGGAAAAAATGAGACACTCAAACAAACAAAAACATAAACAAAATGGAGTGGAGGTAGAAAATAAGTGCGGAACGTACAGAAGCATATTTAGTATTTAAGGTTTTGAGTTCGCATTCAATTATGTGTTATTTAACAAAGAGTCAGCATCGATTGTTTCAGTCAAGCTGATGTTAATTGTACAGGGCGACTTTTAACTTCTATACTGTTAGTTATTGCCAGGAGGCGTTGCGTAGCAGAATGTGCAAATAATTACGATACAAATAAAATCAGTATTATAGCTGTAACTTGGGGACTCGTTTAGAAAGAATTCCTTTCCAGGGTAGGTTTTAAAAGAGAGAAATTTGAATATTGATCATGATAATAAAGGGAACTTAGCAGTGGTCATACTATGAATAAGGTGGCTCTTCTTGCCCACTGTTGCCAGATCAAGTTCGAATTTGAATTTTTGTGAGGGAGAAAAAAGACAATGATATTCTTAGTACGGGTAGTAATGTTAAACATGGCTCTTTACGTTTACGTGCAGGACTTAATCAATATCAAATTCCATTTCATGCCCTATCTTCAATTTTATCTTGCTCATTTCAGGTTCGATTGGGATGAAAGTTACCTCTATTATGAAACTATGAAATTCACTTTATCATTTTAATCTTGTTGGGCCCAGCTTAAAATCATATTCATAGTCAAATCAGCAGAATTTCTATTCATGATGGTATGAAGGTGCCCTAAAACTGACAAACTAAGAGAAAAAGATGACGCCATCGTGTGACAGAGACTAACAGCACAAGAAAACATGGACAAACGAATTTTCTGTTAACTACATATTTGAATCAGACACTTAAAAACACTTTTAAGTGAGCACAGAATTCAGAGTTCACCAATAGATAAGCAAAGCTCGAAAAAGTATCTTCAATTCCCGGGGCAAAAGTGAAACATATTGTTGTTAAGTAATTTTTCTCACTCATCCATAGGTCAAATATGTTAGTTAAATATTGAGAGGCGATGCAAAATAACCAACCAATGGGAGGAAAGAGCAAAATGCTTTGTCATATGGGAAATTGAACAGCGATTGTCTCTTAAGTAAACAAAGTAATAGCTTGCTAAAGTGTTTGCGTGAGCTGAATTTCTATTGGCTGTAAAAAGCCTGAAAAGCTCCAGGTGCAAAATTTCTCACCACTGTCTTTGTGAGGTCGGCATGCTTTAAATGAGTTTAAAGCGCTGTGAATTTAGGCCACCACACAGATGTTCTTTCGCTGCGTTCTTTACCATGTATTCTGTTTATACCTGGGTTCTATTCATAGTCCAATTCTCTATGATAGCAAGGACTGTAAGAACACAAGGTAAGTTTCAGTTATTCAAATATCTAGCACATGTAACAAAAGTTCAATTTCTGTCACTGAAATTTGGCAGGTAGCCAGCAATCCATACGCCATGTAAAATAATCATTAACGCTGTGGAGATAGCAATTTAAAATTTTCTGCTTTGGCAAGTTCATAACTGCAAGGCTGTCTTTCTAAACATTATAACCATAATAAACAACAACGAAGAGGTCCTTATTCCGTCTCAGAGGTTAATTCAGTTCTCGATATGTCTATAGCAGGCTCGAGTCCTTGGGTTGGGTCGTCTAAAATTATTAGAGACTTCAAGTTCCAGTTTTCATATAAATTCTCACTCATTGCATGAAAATGATGATATAAAAAACGAAAAAAACCCTCAATTCACAATTTCCTTAACAGAGCTTACGTTAATGTCATTTGCATGTAGATGGATAAACGTTCACTTAATTATTTATAACATATTTTCGGCTTTTTTATTGAACGATTGGGGATACCTTATCCACCCTCACTCATGCAGAATTTTCCGGAAATATCAGTTGTTTCAGACAGTAATTTCCTACATGTTTCACGTAGTGTTGACATTAACTTCAACTCTCACTCATTACTTTACTTCAAACCACGATAAGTTTATCTCAATGTCAACAATCTATTGCTACCGTAACAATACTTTTAATATTTAGATCGATGAAAAATAACTCAGCGTTTAATAAAAGCATTCAACTTCCTGAGGGTTTGTCCACCGTAAGGAACATCAAACATCGAGATGAAAATCAAGACAAGTTATCGTTTATTACATTTCAAATATGACTCATTTCTGTTTTCAAAGAATGCTCTGAAGCAGATCAATGTCGCACTTTGATGTTCAGGCCTGAAAAAGAGTTTGATGGCAAACGCCTCGTGAACCACGTGATTCGCATCGTTGAAGTCACGGTGAGGGAGTTTTGTGAAACTATGTGTTATATAGAACCCGACTGTGTGAGCATTAACCTTCATAAACGAGCGGGTGGACGTGGAGTGTACAGATGTGAATTGAATAATGTCACCCATGAAGGACACGAAGACGAGTTAACGAATAATGCAAGTTATTTTTATCGTGCAGCTGAGGTATGTCCCTGTTTTAATAAGATTTTTGCCGCACCAAAACATTCTAGCACAACAATCCATCAGTGAACCCCGTTTTCCTTCTGATTTTTGCCTGATTAAGACTCAGTGGTGTTTTTTTTAATATCCATAGCCAAGCTTAAAATGTGGTTTGGTTTGTTGGTCTGTGCTATTCATCTGCATTTGTTTTTTTTACCATAATGTCAATATGTTTGCAAGCCTAAAGAAAAAATGTCTGGGAAGTTATCAGTGATCCACTATTAACCTTCTTAAAAGTAAAAAAAAAAAAAAAAAAAAAAAAAAAAAAAAAAGACTTCGATGATCCCCGCTTGTTTGCTACAAATGCTACCGGATGTATAGCCAAATGATGGTGGTTATGATTGTGACAATGATGGATTTATTTTCTTTCAATGATAGAGTGCCTGTGCAAGAAACTCTTGCAAATACAAAGCCGCTTGTCGAAGCGGTTATATCAACGTTGGATGTTACTGCTTGTGTCCCGCTGGATTTAGCGATCGAACTTGTGAAAAAGGTAAACTTTGTATTTGCGACGATTCTTGAGGACATTCAATGGTGAGTGTTTTGGCAAGGGGTGTAAAAGAATTTTTTTCGCAAATGTGAAACGTAATTGATACTATACTACGCTTGTGTTGCACTTATGTCACCAACAAACGATACACTAAATAGAACAAACAACGAAAACTTTACAACAAAAACAGTGGATTTAGCCCTTTTCACATTCTATAGTTATTGAGTTATCTTTTCTTATTTGTTTGGTAAGTGAAAATAAATGTGCGCACAAAGAATTATGTAAAAAAGAAATTTTGGGCTTACTTGTTCAGTGCAATGGTTTGTGGCCTTCGCTAGAGCCTCGTCAAAAAAATGATGCGAATGATGTCATGGAATCAGGGGGCTGCGCACAAAGAATGATTTTAACGAGAAAGTTTGGGCTCATTTGTTAGGTGAAATGGTTAGTGGCCTTCACGAAAACCTCGTCGATTAAGGTCGAGATTTATTGGGATGTGAGAGGTTCGCATTTAACTTTTTGTATCATGTCTAAGTTGAAACGTGTTTTTTCCCTTCCGCTCCTACATTTTATTACGTATTCTAACTGCCTTGTCCAACCCTACCAAAAAAATTCGCATGGAACTAAATGCTGCTAGTAATGAATTTTCCACTTTATTCTCCCGCGTCTTGACTTTTTCTACGTTTTGCTTTTACCTACTTTGGATTTAACTCAATCACTTGTCTGAGACTTAACCTAAAAAAAATGATATGAGATGTAATAAAATAATAAAAAAGAAAACTTACCATTTCCCTGTTCAGCAATGCCCGAGGCAGACAACACTGTCAACGAGGGTGTCGATTTACAGGTAACACGTAACTGAACGGATGAATAAACGAGCAAAATATTATGTTCTCCAAATTCATAATGGGTGGTATGATTGTCAAGCAAACACAAACATACCTACGGTTGCCATCTGATGATGATATGATAAAGGGTTACGAATCTGCAGTCCTAATTTATGTCCATTGAGACGAGGGGTCACAAAACTGTTTTTGTAAAGGTTAGTTTTTAAAAAGTGGAAAAATAAGCCCATTATTGCTGTATTGTCAACTTATTCTAGGACCCGCGACTTGCAAGGAAGTTCATGACAAGAAACAGTAAGTAAAACGAGTAAACTTTTATTTCGGACTTCGATAGTGCCAGGGACTAAACAGTGGTACATCACGGCCATGTAAGATGTCCCAACTATGATTTGAAAGCCCGAGGAACAGAGCTGTATAATGTTGTAATACAACTTTCATCAATTATCATCATTAATTACTTTGAATTAATAGAATACAAGAAAGTACTTTGGTTACGCTCCTTCTCGACTCTAAACCACTCTCTGTTCTTTGTCAAGTGGGTGATTTTGGATGTGGAGATGGAGGGTGGACACCGGTAATGAAGATTGATGGCAATAAGGTTTGTGTACATCTCTTCTTGTTGTTTGTTTGTTTTTACTACTTTTGTATTTTCCGGGATCAATAGAGCAAGGAGTAATTTTGAGTTGGTACAGAAAATCACTTTTGGAGAAAGAGCTAGTCAATTACTTCTGCAAAATAATAAGTCATCGATAAGGAAATCAAACAAACAACAAATAAACAAACAGAAGAACAGAAAGAAAATCCCCAGTGCTAGCTGTTGTATACTGTCAACATACTTGGGATTTGATTGGTAACACATGTACAATCCCTTTTTTTGATAAGAGATCTGCAATGATAATGTCAACTAGATCAACTAAACAATGTTATCCTGCTTTTCGATTGCTCAGGCTTGTCAAGGTAATGGCTGTTATGAAGAAAAAACAAAACAAACAAAACATTAATGAAATATTTCCTGTTCTTTTTAAGAAAACCTTCCATTATAGCAGCTCTTACTGGACTGACAGAAACGAATACAACTCTCCTGGAGGGGAGACTGGGTTTGACGAAAATGAAAAGAAATTACCCACCTACTGGAACACTTCGTTTTCTAGGATCTGTCTTGGTATGAAGATCGATCAACAGCTCAGGTTCATTGTCGTCAACAAGCAGGCCGACTCTTTGTACTCACTAATCGCTAATGGGAAATACCGCGAAACGTCACTGGGTCGCAACACTTGGAAGGAGATGGTTGGTGCAAATGCTTCTCTGCAGAAAAACTGCAACAAGGAAGGTTTCAATGTTGTTTGTCAGGCCACAGACTCCCCTAAAGCCAGGATTGGTATTGTTAGCAACCAACAGAACGACTGCAACACATGCAACTCAAGGATGGGATACATTCTGGTACAGTAACGAACATGTAGCAATAAGTTAAATTAGCGAAATACAGAAGAGCCTAATAAAAGCGGGGATAAGCCCGATGTATAAAAGATATCAGCAGGGGATTTTCGGGAACTTTAATCCAGGATCTTATTTGAGTCATGCAGTCATAGACTTTAAATAATTAATAATGGGGGGTAAGTTGCCAAGAAAATGAGGTGCTGTGTCGGTGGAAAAGTGTATCAAGATAATTCGGTTTCATCAAACGAATTGATAATGTAAATTGGCCACCGTAATGGTTTCTAAGCTGACGTTTCGAGCGTTGGCCCTTTGTCAGAACGAATGGACAAAGGGTCAAAGCTCGAAAAGTTAGCTCACAAACCCTTTGCGGTGGTCAATTTACATCATCAACTCGGTTGATAAAACCAAGTTATCTTATACAAACAATGAAAGCTTCTTGTCATCTCGTGCTTAATATATCTTTATACAAACTCTGAGAGAATTGAAAGCTTACTGTAACTTCCGCCGATGTCTGATTCCTATTTTGACTCGGATACAGAGCTATATAGTGGTAAGAGAAGTAGCCAATATAACGAATTCATAGTCAACAGCACTACTACTAAAGCATTACCCGTCGGACCCTGTGACTATATTTATTCTTAACTTCTTAAATAATGTTCAAATGACCCTAAATTTAAAAAGAATTGTTTCTCTTATTTATTAACTGAGTTATGGGACAGTTTGCCCTCTCAATTACGTCTTTCAAGGAATGCAAATTACTTCAATTGAAGTAAATTGCAGAGTTGTAGCCTCTTAGAACATGCCTTATAGTCTTGTTGTCACGTTTTTAGCTTATAGCTTTTTTCAGTTTATGATTTAGCTTTTTACATTTCATGTATTTATTGCTAGTTTTACAGTGTTTTAAGATGGAATTGTATTATATGTTAGCTGTAATTTACCACAGATCTTATTGGTACTCGTTCTTGGCTCCTCGACGAAACCTGTTAAATTAAATAATTGATTGATTGATCGAACGACACGCTTTAAAACAAATATGGGGAGCCGCAATAGGAAAAGAAATAACAATTCTCCCCCTGTCCGTAATGACTTTACAAAACACATCACCAAACCGCCACCTGCTGTATTCGTTTACTTGCAAATCAAAAAACAAAAACAAAATAATATAATGTACACTCTATTGATTAAAAATTTACGACATCGATCCATCCAAACTTATTCCTGCGTTGTATGATTTCAAACTTCTAGCGTTTGCTAAGACCGTACACGTTAAGCATAAGATCGTTTCGGAAGAGTAACTTTTACACTTCTGTGCTATAAAGGCACGTTGAGTAAAGTCCTGACTTAAAACAAGAGAGTACGGTCGCGAAAAACGTTTATGTGTTTAAAGCCCTTTTTTGTACCGTGTAAATTTGGGACTCATAAACTTTTCGTTGATGCAAAAAAAAAAAAAAAAGAAAATGCGCTTCAAGGATGAACATTTAGACACTGTAGATCGACCAAGTGTAAGCGCATATGAATTATAAATTACAGGCACCAGCAAATGTGACCGCCATCTTTTCCAAAATAAACAAAATTAACAGCTAATTTCAACATCCGAGTTTTTATTGGTTGGCAAAGAGATTACCTATTAAAGGCGTTAACGTTTAGCATACAGTGCATAATATATCGTTCAAAAGCATTTGAAAGGCCTGCAATCAGTTCACATCTTACACTAAGGGAGATATACGGGAATTTTCCTGTTTCGACTGCGTTCAAAATCATGCGTTCAGTTTGTGTCTGTGTTCCTTTATCGATCTTATGCTTCACTTTACCCAGGACTGTAACTGCACAAGGTAAATCTCAGTCTGATTCATATGTTTTACCTAACATAGGCTCTTTAACCCCGATTTTCTTATTTGGAGATAGCATTTCGGGTAGTAGTACACATTTTTACTTCGTGAACGAGAACTTGACAAATGCGCCAGCAATTTTTGCAAATCCACAACAAAGTAATCCGAAAAAAGAAAAAAAAATGGACGTTTCACTGTAAGAACGAAAGGACAAAGAGCAATTTCAGATATCCATGTATTGATGGCTTCTTTTTTTCCTCTGTATGATCGTATTCATTTTCCCTTTTCCTTCTCTTGTGGGACAACGGGCGTGTAGTTCAAGTCAAGCATTTCACCCTAATCAATAAGTTTTACGTAACTAACATTATCTATCCGCTAATGAAGGCAGCAAAATCATTTCTCCACTTATACAAGGCGTCGATCCATAATGTTTACGCCGAATGGAAGGTTAAGGCCAGCTAACCCAAACTAAATCTTCTGACTTGTCTAAATCAAAACAGCAGCCAGAGAAAGACTAGTAAACGGTAAAGGAGTGATATACCACTTGACTTGTATCTTCATAAAGTACACGTGATAGCTGGCTATATAGCTCACTCCAGACGTGCATTGCCTGGTCGGCATGGAGATCGCATATATTCCATTGTTCCGAAAACACATGATCTCAACCCCATTGAAAAAATATCTATGAAGGAAAAAAAAAATTTAAAAAAAATTAATTAATCGTCTCTTTTCCCTCTCTCAAATCACCTCTGTTGACAGAAAAATATTGGTTTCAAAATAAATTTGTATAAGCAAAAGTGTTATTACGTTGGTTGACAAGCGGCCTAAAAACTGTCTGTAATTAATTTTAATTGTTCACAAAAAGTACCTAGATTGTTAAAACGTGAGGTATTTGAATTGAACCAATCGATGGAACTTTCATTGATTTGATATCTAAATTCTCTCAAACAATGTGTTCGTAGTGAAAGGGTGAGCGCAATTTTAGTTCTACAACAAACATACGCTCTCGGTGAGTCTTTAAAGTCCGTTCATGGAAATTTGTACCGTAAATTGCACAGCAGGACCTGAAGGAATTCAATGAGAAAAAGCCGTATTAACTCCCCTCTTGTCTCGTTGGAGTGTCTCATTGGAATTTAGTTTTTGTGGAGGAAAGGCCACATTTCCACGCCATTGCAGCAAACAAACGAGCAAACTCTTACAACTTTAAAATAAAAAAAATTGAATTTACTTACAACTACTTTCCTCGCTTTTTGCTTAATGATCAGAGGTAAATCGTCGTATATGAATTAATCCTTGATGAGAGTAACAACGCTTTCCTTAAGATCATTGACTATTTTTGAAAGAAACATTGTCGTGACGGTCCAATACGGACCTCCCGGCTGGCGAATAACATATATTTCTTCTATCTAAAAGCATTCTCTGAAGCAGGCTATTGTCGTACCCTGGAGTTCAGGCCTGAAAAAGCATTTGAAGGTAGACGCCTCATAAACCACGTCATTCGCGTCGTTGACGTTACGATGGAGGAATTTTGTGAAACGATGTGCTTTTTGGAACCCGATTGTGTCAGCATTAACCTTGATCGTCGGGCTGATGTATATGGGAAGTATAAATGTGAATTGAATAATGTTACTCACGAAGGACACGAACACGAGTGGAGGGAAAACCCAAATCACTTTTACCACGCAGCTGAGGTACGTGTAATATATTTTAAAGATTTTGCATATATTATGGTGAGCCATAATTGACACACACAAAAAGTGTACTTAAAAGGCAATAGATTTCGCAATAGTTGCCTGAAACAAATATTGCATTGCTCAAAATTTTATCACCAGTTTGATATTTAGTGTCGTAGAAATGTTAGGCTACAGGTTGTTCTATTCTAGTTTCTTGAGAACTCATTCTACAGTTGTTCCCGAAAATAGCCAACTACTGTCAAGCTAGAATCTTTATTTTGCGAAGAAATCGCCGTAGTCTTCACATCCAAGGATAAGCTCGCTCTTGAATTACTAACACTCTCTTCTAACTTGCTGATTGCCGGTGGTTATAATTTTAGCAGTCATGGTTGTAATAATAATGATTTTCTTTTCGTGTCAGAGTTCTTGCGTGAATAATTCTTGCATAAATATCGCCACTTGTCAAAGCGGTTTCACGGTCAGAGGACATCGGTGTGTTTGTCCAGCTGGATTAAAGGGTTATAATTGTGACGAAGGTAAATGACACTTGCGCTTTTGCTTTTTAGTATGAAAGCACTAATGAACTAAAGTAGACTTGTTAACCGAATTGGCCATTTGATATGCAAAAAACATGAAGATTAAGCAAGAATATATCTGGGAAATCATTTGTGTTCTACGGCGTTCATTGAGGACTTCAACATCGGAACCATGTCGATGTTTTGGTAAGATGCTCGTGCAAATGATCACGTTACAGAGAACTAGTTATCATACTTTACTTCCGAATTTGACAACTTTCACACAAACAGTAGAAATTGCTGTGAACAGAATTGCGTAAAGTTATGGACTAGACCGTTTCGGTTGTTGAAACGAGGTCTTAAGCGACTTTATTCTAAAGTGAATCTGTTGTAGCCCCTTTTTCCTTTTTATCATTTAATTTATCCATGTATTCATTAATTTGTTTTACAGACATCGACGAATGTACTGAAAGCTTACATAACTGCAGCAGTTATGCTTTTTGCAACAATACTGAAGGGTCGTACAACTGCACGTGTAAACCTGGATACACTGGAAATGGGCGAGAATGCAGATTCGATGGTAACCTTTTACTTTAAAGAAAATTTAATTCTCATTTCTTTTGTAATTAAAAATAAATCGGCAGTCGCCTTATCGTCGATATCTTTCAATTTCCACAGGAACTACGACGTGCAAGGAAGCTCAGGAGAGAAAGATGTAAGTAAATAAAATCAACGTTCGTGAAGCGTTTTTAGGTTGATTGTTGAGGTCAGGAAGCATACTTAAAGAACATTGAGATATACGAAAGAGATCGATATATAACTGCCATAACCAACTTGGTTAGCTGAGTCAAGATATGAAATGGTCACGTGCTAATTACTCTATTTTTAACTTGACTTCTTGTTTGCTTGCGTTACAAGCGCACGAGTATAAAGAGAAATAGTTCGAAATGGCTTGTTATTGAACTATCCTGATCCGTTTGGTGGGCTAGCCAGATTACAAGATTTGTTTCTTTCTTTTTCTCCACACGTATTAAAATAAGTACGTTTATCCTCCCCATTTTTTCGGGGGTGGGGGGAGGCGAGTGGGGACTAGAGGCCTATGGGTAATACACGAAGCAAGGCTACATATGATGATCTTTTCTCAAAGGAAGAAGTCTGTAAATTTTTCTGAGATAAAAAAAACATAAGACGAAATATTTTTATAATTATTTTAGACCTATTAAAGTTCACACGGCAACCAGGTGGACAATCAGACATAGTTTGAAGCTACACTGGTTTGCAGATTTAATGAATGTAACCGAAGAAGTTACAATTCATAGACCCAACGTTTCGACACTCCTGTCTAGTGCCTTCATCAGGGGTGATCTAAACGCTGCAACAAGAGGTCCTTTTATATGATCACTAATTAGCGGCCTTTTTTCTGACGAGGTGTAAATAGGCGTCAGGAAGCAGACCGCCATCGTCACGATTTAAAGGAGCGTGGGCGGAGTTAATGTGCCAAGCCTCCAAACAAAGGCGCTGGTGGTAACGCCGATTAGTAGTGATAATTTTAGAATTATCCCACCCAATTGTATGGTTGGTTAGGCAAGTATGCTCCGATAAAGCTGAATTTTCCTTTTTGCAAAGAAAAACCGCTTTTTGGTGCTCTTTTAACCGTGTACCAAACTGGCGTTTGGTCTGTCCGATGTATTCGTTATCACAGTCATTGCAAGGAATAGAATAAATGGCGTCGGTTCGTTGTTCTTTCGTGACAGGATCCTTAGGTTTGGCGAAAATATGCCCCAAAGTCTGAAAAGGTTTTTGAGCAACTTTAACGTTGTGGCTATTCAAAATTCTCTTGATGGGTTCAGTAACACCCTGTATGTAAGGAATAACAGCAAAACCAGTCGCTGGTTCCCTTTCATCAAGAGCGTTACTATTTGTAACTGGTTTTTGGCAGTTACGGAGAAAAGTTTTTGTATAGCCATTTGCCTTTAGGACATTGGAAACATATTTCCTCTCCTCGAAGGCTGAGGAGAGGAAATATATACTTCATCACCCCTGATGAAGGCACTAGACAGGAGTGTCGAAACGTTGGGTCTATGAATTGTAACTTCTTCGGTTACATTCATTAAATCTGCAAACCAGTGTAGCTTCAAACTATGTCTATTTTAGACCTCTTTAAAATTTAATTTTAAATAAAAAGAGCAGACTTCAGTGGCGTGGTTACTCTCCTTATTGATTCAAGACAAGTCCCCGTTTTCTGTTATGTGGGTGATTTTGGATGTGGCGAAGGAGGATGGACACCTGTGATGAAGATTGATGGCAGCAAGGTTTTTTTATTGTGTTCTTTTTTCAATTCGAGTTCGTCTGATTGATCTTAATAAATGAGATAAAACGTTATAATTATATTATAATTATTACTACCATTTGTCTCGTTATCATTGTTATATATCATTTAAGTTATTCATTATTATTTATTGAGTTATTCACCTTCGTAAGTGTGAGACATTTGTCACTTGAGTGAAAAACACGACTGAACGAGTTTTCGTCCTTCTACAGGGAACCTTTCATTATAGCAGCTCCTACTGGACTGATAGAAACGAGTACAACCCTCCTGGAAGGGAGACTGGGTTTGACGAACAGGAAACCAAGTTGGCCATCTACTGGAACGCATCTTTCTCTAAGATCTGTCTTGGCATGAAAATCAATGAACAGCTCAGGTTCATTGTCATCAACGAGCAGGCTGACTCTTTGTACTCACTGATCGCCGATGGGCAATACCGCGAAACCTCACTGCGTCGTGATACGTGGAAAACGCTTATTGGTGCAGCTGCTTCTTTGCAAAACAAATGTAACAAGGAAGGGTTCAATGCATTTTGTACGTTAGCATCGTCATCAAAAGCCAGGATTGGTATTGTCAGTAACCAGGAGGACGAGTGCTTAACGTGTGACTCAAGGATCGGATTTGGGACTGGAGGCTACCCAGATGATTCGAACGTGTGCGGTAACGTGGCAAAACACCATCCAGATAATGGAGTGAAATACATCAAAGCTATGGGATATATATTGGTGCAATAAAAAGGGTATGACTAAAAAAAAAAAAACAACAACAACAACAAAAGCAATCATTTACTTAGTCATCAAGATCTAGAAGATCATTGGTTTCTTCGTTACTTAAGCCCTGGAAAAGTGCAGCTTGACGATGCAATCCAAGGCGTGAACGCACATCATTAATGTATCGCTGTGATTTCAACATGGGATCTCCTTTTGTTGTCATCTCCGCTAGAAAATTGCGCTCAGCCATGCACGCTAAACTCGGCAATCACTTGCTGCCGTTCAAAATGAATTTTTGAATTGCATAGGAAAGAAAATGCTGCGAATTGATATTGACAAAATTGTGAGGTTAATAAGCGTGACGTTGTGAGTGGAATGAACCGTTTTCCTCTCTCAATAAATTTTATTTATGAATTTCTCATTTTTTATTTGTTATTCGAGCCTTCTATTGTCGTAGAAGTTCATCACGTGACTTTGGCAGCAGACACAATCACACATTTTCTACCCATTATTTGACACGTCAAACAATAACTTTTGTTGCGCATGCGCAATAACTAGCGCCGTATTGACTGCCGAGGTCGATCAAAATGAATTCATATAATATCCACTAAACTTAAGTATTTGAACTCATTTTTGCAAAATTTCTTTTAGAGTTTGCTCGCACGTTTTCTGAATAGAAACACGCAGGGCACGTGCATTTGAAAACTGATCCCACGGAATGGAAGTAATATTTTTGTTTTGATAATTTAAGGCATAAAAAACAGCCAAGAGGAGCGAAAAGGGATTAAAATTTTTTTTCCTTGGTTCGCGCGAAAAATGATATAATAACTACATAATACTACTACTATTAATAATAATAATAATAATAATAATAATAATAAACAACTTACGACTGTGGTTAAAGTTCTTCATTTCCTCTGAGAAACAAAGCTTTTTCAAAGCTGTTGAATACGGGAAGCCTCTAACGGCACCAAACTAAACATTGTATGTTGGATGATTTGACAAGTTTTACTTAGCATGTTCTTTGCTCATGTTTCAGCGGAAAATTTGTGGTGCTTCAGCTCAGAGAACACATCATAACTAAGTTTCTGAATTAATATTACAATGCTCTACGAAAATAAGCGACTCCTCATTTTTATTTCTGGATTTAAAATAAAATAAACATTGCTTAACCTCGGTAACGGTCATTTTGCACTTCAAGGTACAATTCATCCTAGTATAGGCCAATCGATTATAATCGATATGAGGATTAGTTAAAGATTGCCGATTGGTCACTGCCGACAGATTAAAGGAGAACTGAAGTCCAAATTCATGTAATTTTTTTCACCGTGTATCGTACATTTATGTATGATGGAACAAATTTCCGTCATTTTTTTTCCTCGAACGAAAGTTTTCATTCAGAAAACGAAGGGTTTTTAGTGATAATTGGCTCGATATTTGACTGTGGTACGTCGGCTTAGAACACGAATGTCAGCGGTTCTTTTTGTAGCGTGTGACGTAGGTTATGGGGATGAAGGTAAACACGGCAAGGAACAGGCAAGTTGAATTCAGGACTGCGGCTTGCTCGCGGGAAAGAGTTTGTGGTTTTCCAGGAGTAAAGATTGTGCAAGGTGAAGCAAAAAATGATTCAAACGCCTCTCATATTAGAAAATTGGTCTTCTATCCAGGGATTGTGTAAGAGTAAAATATTTTTGCTTTCGTAACCCTGTGTCTTTGAAACATAGTTACGTGTCCAGATCATGAGCGGCGCATCTTTTATACTTGGATTGACCTCGATGTTTTCGGAATAGGGTCTCCTCTTAAATTTTTCTTACATACTGGTAATTTAAGATATTTCATCTTCCATTCTGTTTCCCATATTTTGTTATTTACCTTTTTTAACATTAGCTTGCAACGCGTTTGTAGTCTGGATTTTGCAATGGCATGTACGATAACGCACGCTGTTACCAATGTCGCAAGAAGTCCAAAAGGAAATAAAATTTTGAAATTCGTGTTGAACTTTGGTTCATAAGTTCTTTATAATGGGTTAAATTCTTGGCTTACGCAAGAAAGAATGTACAAATACGGAAGCCCGAGTTGTTTGAGTTTATTCTTATATCTGTTCTTGGCGGTTGAGTAGCCCTCGTTGCTATATTTACTTCGATTACTTTCGAGCTAAAAAATGGTATACTGCGCGGCGTTCGATTGTAACAACGACTCGAGGTACACAACTGGTATATCCTACCATTGCTTTCCGAGGGATGAAGCTCTACGATCACAGTGGCTGGCAAAGATCTCACGAGCGGATCTGGTCGTTTCGAAAAACTTCAGGTTGTGCTCAGAACATTTTACACCTGACTGCTACGAACGAGACTTGAAAGCAGAAATTCTTGGTTTGAAACCCAGATCTACGCTAAAACCAGGTGCAATACCCACGGTTTTTTCGCATCAGAGACCATCAAAAAGACCTCGGCTTTCATCGGGGAAACGTTCAGAAGAGAAAGTCAGAAAAGAAGTAAGTGAATCGTGAATTACTCTCTTGCAACTGGGTTGGGATGTTGCAAAGCTTGGGTTGTTGCAAACTCTTGGAGCTGCTCATCATTTATGCATGATTAATAAAAATAATGAAAGGTGAATGCAGTTTGGGGGCAATAGCAATTTATATCTTAAGGGATATCACCCGAACAGGTTCCATTGAGAAAGATTAAATTTTCGCAGAAAAGTATTTCTTCTGTGGATATTATTCTTTAAATAATGAATTCTTTTAACCTTCTTTACTTCTATGTGAATAAAAACTTAATACAACTGGAAATTCTAAGTTAAAACCAGTGCAGGCTTTCAACCAAAGGAGGGCAGGGTCAGGTGTTATATTTTCCAAGAAAACCCCATTGAATCATTGCTATAACCATATAGTAGCATAGTTTATCTCCCATACCTACATTTTTCATTCTCTCAAAGGGGTCACTAACCCATACCATAACAGAGTTAATATTTTTTTCTGTTATAGTATATAGCCTCTGTAACTGCACAACCTAGTTGTGGAATCGAAGAACATGCAGCTTCAGCTTTAGAACAGCCTGCACCTGTTGATGTTGTGAATTGTGGAGCAAGTACATCAACCTTAGACAGCCCATCATATCCATTCCCACATGATTTAGGGCCTAAAAGCACGTTGGTTGAGTCACAAGCAGTGCAGGTGAATTTGCCAAAGAAGGGTGTGGATTTTGGAATCCAAGTCAATCTTCGTGGTCTCCATTTAATGATGAAATCTACTGACACCCAAGTCGAGGTTGATGTTTCAGAAAGCAGCACCCAGACTGAAGAGGTATTCCTTCCTGAAATTGAAGATAACAAGGAAGAAGCAACTGAAGCTGCTGCTTCCCCAGAATTCTCTCCAAGAAAAGATGGCATCTACCTTCCCACAAAACAGGAAGATTCAGATGATTCGAACATGTCAGGATCAGACAATGAACACCAAAGGGAAATAAAATACGAAAAGCCACGGGATGATACCAAATACATTGTATTTAAAGAAGAGCTATTTAAGAGCTAATGTCAGCATGCATCAAACAAACAGCGGCAAGTCACCCAAATTTGTTGTCCCTCCTACTTTTATATTTTGTAGCCCAATATGTTCTAATAATTGTGGTGTAGTTTTTTTGAAAAAATATATTTCAGTTTTCGAGAAATAATTTTTTTCGTTCGATCCCTCAAATATGCAAATTTTCACCGTAAATATTACCCGAGTTGTGTGACCTCATGTATCGAATGTATTAGACGTACGGTATTTCTGTGAACATAATCCTTTGTTTTATCATCTAAACTTGATCCCCTGTCGTTATTGAAGCTGCCAAGGAAATTTTTTTTTTTGGTGAATATTTTTGTCTGACATACTTTTCCTATGCCGAAAAGTAGCATCAAAACAAAGACAGTTTTAACAATGACCGATATGACACAATCTACTGAGCTTCAAGCTTTTAAAAGACCAAAGTATGGTTAGAAAGTAACTGTAAAAATTTCGTTGTTTATTTGCGTTGTTCTATCTTGAGACGAACTCAAAGTCCGGCGCCTACTTGTCGCCACCGTTAACTGGCATAAATCACTACAACTTGTAAAAAAAATCTAACATAACACTCTTATCTTGTTTATTTATGATTTTATTAGCTGTTTCGTTGATCACGTTAATTATGCTCTACCACATCCTAGCCAGATTTGAGTTCCAGTTTATATGTCTTCTCTAACTTATTATATCAGTTGCGCGCGCGACACAGAAATTCAAAGATGAATCAACCTCCGAAATACCAAGAGATGGGTTTTTTTTCCTCTTTGCATGACATCTAGAAAAACCTTTCAGGAATTACTGCATTCAGATCCATCAATGAATCCTTTACCGGCTGAAGTCAAAGTATGGTTACAGTGGTCAATTTGATTGACAAGCTACATACTGATTTAGCTAACTGATCTGTTTTATAAGCGTCTCATCTTACATGCTAACATGGAGATTTGCTATTTAGTTAAATCGTTCGCTGGTGGAACTTGTGGGCTTAGTTATCGAGAAGACCAAGTCGTTCCCTTGCGGGATTGTTAAAAAGACATTTCATGTCACTTGCGGAGTTGCAAGTTTTCAGATCCAGAAAATGAAATTGATCTTGTTTTGTAGCGTGCCGGCATCTTCGAGACTCCAAAAGATATCGATGATTTTACAAATTGCCCCTCTCACAGATCAAATCTCGGTGTTGGGTGGAATCGTAGTTCCAATAGCAGATGTAGGGTGCCAAAAGAAATGTCCGGCCATGGTAAAGGTAGGGTTAAGTCGATTCCAAAAGCTGATAGGGAATTAGCAAGCGTGTATCACAGATAGTACTCAAAATGTCTGGAAAATTCTTACAATCTGGCTTCGGTAAGTAGGCTACTTACCACCGTCAGCAAAATAACGCGTGACGTCAGAGTTAAGTCTCGATTGGGAATTGGTCAAAAGGCTACCAAAAATTCAGACAGAGGCGGAGTTTTCTGAAGTAATGTCTAAACACTTTGTTGGCTTTCCGCCGTATGGGAGACGCCTAATTATGCACACGGTGGTAAGGGGCCCTTCCGCACTAGCGACTAGACGCTGACAAATCATGTTTCTCTTCGCCAAAATCACATCAGAATTTTTCTTGCTAAAGGTCAAGTGTGCTGCACGTATTAGCACCCCCAGGGGACCCCTTTACAGAAAAGGGCGGGGGTGATCGCCTGGAATTTCGAAAACGATCGCTATAAAATTATAAAAGGAGCTTAAGTCTTATCTGTGTGGGAGTGGCAACAATTAGCCTGTAAAAACAAGTCTTTATGTCCTTTTCTGTCTTTTTCAATGCTTCCCTCGCACCTACAGAGGATTCATACAAACATGAGAGCCGTGCCGCGTTTACATTGTACTGGTAGAAGAGGTCGTCCAGAACGAGTATTTCTTTCTGTAATGAAAACCCCAATAAACTCACTCAGAAATGACTCATTTCGAGTAAATTTTACGCTGGTTATTATGTGGCAACCGGTATGAACTCGTTCTTGCACAAAACTCATTCGGATATCATGTAAAAGGCCCCTAAAAGTTTTTATTCCCAGAGCATCACGCTTTGTTCGCCTGTCTGAATACTAAAAATTTCAGTAGCGTTGAAGCAACAACCCGCTTTAACTGCTTCGCTGCCGCTGAAACAACGATCAGTGAAGAAAGCACATATTTTAAAATTTTCAATTCAACGTAAACAAAAATCTTTGTAAGTGGTAAATATTCACTTGTGTCGGTATCAACTATTGCGTGACTAGCTTATGATATAAATGAGGGAGGGGAAAACACAACGCAAAACCTGAGCTCCTGTCAAAAAGTAATACCCAGACGTAATATAATAATCGAAGCGGCTAATAAAATCATAAATAAATTGGCAGCTTCAATAACAACAGGGGATTAAGTTTAGATAATAAAACAAAGGATTATGTTCATGGAAATACCGTAGGTCCAGTACATTCGTTACATGAGGTCACACAACTCGGGTAATATTCACGGTGAAAATTTACATATTTGAGCGGTCGAACGAAAAAAGTCATTTCTCGAAAATCAAAAAATATTTTCGCAAAAAAACTACACCACAATTATTAGAACATATCGGGCAACAAAATATGAAAGTAGGAGAGAAAACGAATCTTGGGCGACTTGCCACAATATTTCAAATTTGTTCGATGGATGCTGACATCCTCTCTTAAATTGTTTAGGTATTGTCATGAGTGTGGTGCAGCTGTGATTAAAAGGAACCAATCCACACAAGGAAGCCAGTTATTTGTCACCCTAGAATGTATGAATAATCATAAGTACTCCTGGCAAAGCCAGCCAATGCTTGAGGGGATGGCAGCTGGAAATTTGTTGCTGTCATCATCTATTTTGCTCAGTGGCTCTACCTTTACAAAAGTAGCATCTTTGGCAGATATCTTAAATTTGAAAATTTTCGGTGAGAATACATTTTATAATATTCAAAACAAGTACTTCTTACCCGTAATCAATGAGTTCTGGCTTAAAGAACAAAATTCCACTTTTTCTGAGCTAGGGGGCCGAGATCTGTGGCTTTCAGGAGATGCGCATTGTGACAGTCCTGGCCATAATGCAAAATATGGGACATATACCATGATTGATCAGAAAACTGATAAGATTGTTGGGCTTCAAGGTTGTCCTGGTCAGTGAAGTAAATAATAGCAATGCCATGGAAAGAGAGGGTTTTAAACGCTGTATGGAAAACATCTATGAAAAAGGGGGGAAAATTATGGTTGTTGCAACTGACCATCATGTGGGCATTAGGGCTGACATGAAAAGAAATTTCCCTGAAGTTGATCATGAATTTGATGTTTGGCACCTTTCTAAGAGTATAACTAAAAATTTAACTAAAAAAGCAAAGAAGAAAGAATGTGCTGATCTCTCTCTCTGGATCAGATCCATCTCAAACCACCTTTGGTGGTGTGCCAAAACACGTGGGGGAGACAAGGAGATGTTGAGAGAGAAGTGGATATCCATTGTCTATCACACTGCCAATATCCACTCCTGGGATTCAGCTGACCTGTATGAGGAATGTGCCCACCAACCAATCCCTCCGGCTATCGCAAGAACTAAAAGGTGGCTTAGGCCTGGCTCCTCTGCTCATAATGCACTGAAGGAGGTTGTATTCGATACAAATCTGTTGAAGGACATTCAGCAACTAACACTTTGTTGTCATACTGGCAATTTAGAGGTGTACCATAGTGTGCAGACCAAACATGCACCCAAACGGCAGCACTTCTCTTATAATGGCATGGTTGCTCGAACTCAGTTGGCAGCCCTAGACCATAATGCCAACACTGGTAGGCAACAAGCCACTGTATCCAGGGGTGCCAACCAAGGGAGCTGCAATACAAGGTAGTGTTTCCGAAAAATACAAAAGAATGGGTGGCAAAGCCCATATTTGAGAAGACAACCAATTATCATCTCAAGCCAATGCTTAATGTCATTATAGAGAGAAAATGCTTAAAGCCACAAGAGAGGAGTGCAACAGTCAAGCACCACACATTCCTGAAAACATTGCTAGCAAACCCCGGCCTCCTAAAGCAGATGTCATTGCTAATCATACATAGAGATTTTCGAATAATTAAATACTATAACTTTGTCAATAACACAATCAAATGAAAATGAAAGCAATCATCGTAGCAAAAAGCAATTAAAGTTAGGTTTGAGGTTTATTTCATTCAGGCCACGCAGCTATCCCTGGCAATGTGGATAATTTAATAACTGCAGTAGGGATGACATTCGTTTGGCTCTGCATGGCTTTTGACTGAATCACTATGAAGAAATGTGTTAGTAATTCATATCCTCGATAAGTAATTGTATATTTCACGCAAATTTTAGAAAGAAACCGTAACATAAGGAAATAATTAAGAGCCTCTGATGTTATACACGCAAAGGATATGTTACTAATCATTATTAAAGGACATTACGGATAAAGTTCAAAGTTCCAGATCTGCCTCTCGAAACCCCACGTAATTACCACTCTCTTCAAGAAATGTTTTCCGTATGGCCGTGACGACGCATGCTGGCACGATTCTCCGCCGGTTTTTTCCTAATACCCATGTGCCCACCAAGTAATTGTCTTGGCTGCCAAACGCCAAGTTCTAGAGAACAAAAGGATACAAAGTCACAAAAGCGATTGACTTAATTACGCGTACAAAATAAGAAAGAAAAAGACAGTTTACCTGTTGACGATAGGGTCGGGAATTGGATTGAGCCGCGCATTGTGGATTGCAACCAATGCTGTGCTCAAAACATCCGTGTTCAAGCATACAATGCCAAATTTCGGATGTTCTGTTATACATCTAACACCTATCAATACCCAAAAAGAAGAAAAAAGTCTTAAAATTTTCTTTCCCTCACTGTTTCAATAATTTTCATCCATCGGACCGTGTAGTTGTAATTACAACTAAGATCGAGTTTGCAATTGTCCACCTTTTGTCACTCTTAGCAAAGAAGCGGCCGCTTCAAACAAAATACTCGTGAGAATAACCACATAATAAGTACAAACCTGAATTGTCGAATTTTTGATTAAGCTCCTCTAGTTCTTGGCAGCAGTAACATTCATTTGCCACCGGCATAAGCGCACAAGCGCCTCACAAACACCATTCGGTGTTTCCCATCCTCGAAGTGGTGTCTTCTTCGTGGGCTTCTACCTACTGTTCGACACTCTCTTCCTGAGGAAGTTCTTCTCCAGGCTGGTATACTGGTTCGAACTGAAATGGTTCTATTCCGCTCATGACGAAGGGTCGACGAAGAAGCAATTTGTATTAAAGTTTAGCCGAACGATAACACGTCCTTAAGTGATCCCCATAACATACGTCACAGGCTCATTTGGAAGACCGCTGATTTAAAATTGTTGCCCACGGTTTGAAAGCCGAAACTGCGCGAAAATACAAACTTTAAAGAAATATTTCTCCAAGGCAAGACACATTTACCACAAATAACGCCTGAAATCGAGAATTTCGTCACTTTGGTTATCGAAAGAAATTAACTCAATTTTTGGCTTCAGTTCTCCTTTAAGTGATTCTACCTACGAGAAAAAAACAAAAAAACAAACGGTGTCTTGGAGGTATACATGCCATGTGCTTGAGACGCGCCGACTGATATCAATTGGAATTTAAGCAACTACTTACTGCATAAATTTAATAATATTTGTGTCGCGACAGGGAAGCTGAGTTAAATGAGGAAACGAAATTTGAGAGCCACTGTTTACAAGCAGAAAGAGATATCATAATGGTAGTGCGGGTGACAGCTGTGTTTCTATTGTTTGTCCTTACATGGAAAAAAATATCATCCAATTAAAGAAGTTGCGTCTTACGCTCGCATTTAATGTGTAACAAACGTCTAATTGCTCCTTTTTCAGCCCAGGATACCAGGGAACAAACCGCTTTCTGCGTTATGCATTCTGTTTCCATATGTCTTCGTCTATTGTTGCTCTGCTTCCTGATACCCAGCGCTGTCAGATCACAAGGTTAGTTTCAGTATAACTCAAGATCATTAGTCATAAGTCCTTTAACTAAGTAAAGGGATTCTTCATATCTTCTTACGGCTGATCTTTGCTTACACCAATTCTTCATAACTCGGTTCCACAAAAGTGTCCCTGGGAAGTAGGGCTAAAGTTTAGAGTTATCAACAGGGAGCGAAAACTTTACATTCCAATTTCGAACATCTAATTTTGCATTGGAATATTTTCCAACTAAGCATTCATGATTTCAAAGCGTCCCGAGAATTTCCGTCGCAAAAATCAGAAGACATCACTCATCTTCCTCCTAACATGTCACCTGCTGCTTTTTTCAGTCAATGAAGAACCGCGGCGTTAGTTTTTCAAACTCTGCTTTGCAATGTTTAGGGAAAGTAAATCCATAGTTTATTGTTTTCAAGCGAAGGAAAATTCAAGTTCGAAAATTAAGCAGGCACAGTCAAGGTCTGCTCCATCTAGCAAGAATGTAGCTAGGAATGGTGCTTTGTTTAAATTATAATTGATCATCAATGCTAAGAAACCTTTCCCTTATGATACCATTTGTTAAGCAATGTTTATCATTTAACTGTATAGAAATACAAATAGCACAACAGAGTAAAAGCAAAAAAGTACGCTAGATCGATTCGTGCTTTTGAAGATAAGGAATTTATATATATTTTTTAATTTCTATTTTTATTATTGGAACGGATCCCGTTTATCAAAACACAGTAAGGACAATGTGATTACTTGTAGCAGTGAGTTAAGAAAATAGCCGATCTTGAATTCAAATGAAACTGTTTTTAATTAAAAAATAAAAATGGAATAATATTTAAAATAAAAAAAAACGACATACACCAACCTTTGCGGTCTTTCTAACTCATTATTGTTATTATTAATATTATTTTGTTGTAACTTTTTCTTTACCATCGATGGTTAATAAATGTTATACCAAATAAAATTCCTCGCCAGAACCAAACTAAGAATTGTTAGTAGGATATTTGACAAGTATTAGTTAGCCAGCTGTTTTACTCATGTTTGAGCTGAAATATTTACAACATATTATTGTTATAGGTCTGTATATCGTTTAGTATGCGCGAATTCATAACGGCAAAGAATGCATTACGCATATATGTTATAGGCCTTAACCATATAGGTTATATACCTTACACATATAGGTCATAATTTTTGCAAATTTCTCTCGTCAAAATTGTTTTGGTTTTAATGTATCCGTAACTGACATAAACATTGTGGGACTCAATCAAAAAATTCTTTATTCCATTAATCATCTCATTAAACGTTGTTTCTAGGTACAGTTTATCCAAGTACGGACGATTTTATTTATTTTCATGGCACAGAAATTATTCTTTTGGATCGAAGAACAAATTTGGAAAATTTGGTCGGTTATTTTTAACAAGATGACACCATTATGAGTATGAGGGATAGCAGGTGTCTTCTAGATATTCTTATAATGCGCTTTAGACGACTGCATGGCTAGCCGACTGTCATCAGTTAATCTTTATATCCCGTCAGAGAACAGATACATAATTTTATTATAGTGCACAAGCTCGGTTCAATATACTGAAGCTAATAACAGAATAACTAGCGCTGTGTATGAATAAAGGAAGTCTAAGTCACACGTACACATTTCACAGCCTTTGGTTTACAAGTAGATAGAATAAGCAACATGATATGGTACCTGTGACAGCTGTCTCAAAATTCTCGTGATATGGAAACAATATTATTTATCAAGTAGTCGACCTGCATTATAAGTTTAGCAGGTCGCAAAATTCTGAGAGCTCCTTTTTCCGTGAACAACAAAAGGGAACTTTTCTGGCTGCGTTCAGCACCATGTATTCTACTTTTATCCGTCTCCTTGGGTTGGAAATTTCTTTTACGATATCAATGGATGTTAGACCACAAGGTTAGTTTTAGTAGTAATCGTGAGGCATGGTAAGGAATTATCTTTTTACTGACGAGTATATCACGGTCCTCGGCTCGTCACATTTATTTTAGCCTAGGACGTTTCTAAAATTTTACTTTGGAATGTAAACATTCATTGGGTCAGTTAGTTCGATTGGACCAACATTGATGTATCGAAAGAAAGAGCGGGTCTATTTCTTTAAATCTAGCCATAGGGATGGGTAACACTTTAAAGATGGATCCATTTCCTTCCTTTACATCTGCATTTTATTTGACAGCCATAATATTAAACTTGCTTAAGAACTTCTGGCGAAAAGATTGAACACCATTATTCATAATACAGGCTCAGTTTTCGAATAATTATGCAATATTGGCGTTATTATGAAAAGCGGGGCAGTTAAACAAACATATCTAGAGTCTATGTCGCTTAATTTGACATTTTTCCCTTCAAAAACGCAAATAGCCTAAAGGTAAACAATGTCATATACGTCAGATCTTCTTTCATGGTTTCGGAGCTTTCAAAGCAATCTTTGGTAAACGCTGCTGGTCTCGTATATTAAAGCACAGTAAAAAACATCGCGATTCATTGCTGAAGTCTTGAAAATAGCAAATAAATTTATTGCAAAACTTTTATGCAGAGCAGAAAAATAGATGAAGTAAATAAACTAAAATAAATAAGGAAAAAACGAAGAAAGATATTAAAAATTAACAAAAAACCAAAATAGAACAAAACAATTACAAATCGCCAGTGTGACATGATTTCAAATAGCTCCCTCATTCCTCTAATATTTATCAATTACTTTTATTTTAAAGACTTTTGCGTCGCAGACCAGTGTCGTATTCTGGAGTTCAGCCCTGAAAAAGTATTTGAAGGGAAACGTCTTATTCAACACACGATTCACGTCGTGGAAGTAACGGATCCAAGGTTCTGCAAGAACTTGTGTTACATGGAACCCGACTGTGTCAGCATTAATCTTGATAAAAGAGAGAATCGACATGGAAACTACAAATGTGAACTGAATAATGTCACTCACGAAGGACACGAACATCGGTTGGAGGATCACGAAGATTTTTTCTACCATGCTGCTGAGGTAAGTACATTTTTTCCAATTTACATGTCTTTAAGAAAATGTTTTTTCTCCCCTTGGCATTTCTGCTTCAATGATTCATTGAAATAAGAACTCAGGCAGTGGTTTCCTCATTTGAAGGAATGTTTTGTTCTATTTTCGACCATAACCATGATAATGACGATGACTCATCACGATTATGACGTCAACGGTGACGATGCCGAAGACGAAGACAAAGCCAAATATGAAGAATATGACGATAAAAAATAACTATGATCAAGATAATGGCAATATTGATGATGATGTTTTTTAATGTCAGAGCAACTGTGTCAAAAGTCCTTGCAAGAATAACGCAAGATGTCAAAGTGGATTTACGGACAAAGGTTTCCGCTGTATTTGCCCAGCTGGATTCAAAGGTCAAAGATGCAGTAAAGGTAACAAGAGCCCTCATGTCAATATTTTGAGAAAATCATTAAAAAGAAACACAAAAAGCTTTGTAATAAGGTTTGTTTGTTAACAGTTTGCTCTAATCTGACTACACAGTATCTGTTGATTTTTCTTCTTCTTTTTTTTTTTGGGGGGGGGGGGGGTACGGGGAGGATTAAATCAACCAAAATGTTTACACCAGTAACACGCGAGTATTTATCCAACTGTAACTCCAATACTTTAAGGAGATAGTAAAAATATGACTGCTTCGCAGTTTAATACCTTCTGTGACTGACAGAGTTGTTAGTATATTTTGTCTACAACTTAGTTACTCTAAACGGACCAATTAGGCAAGTAAAGGGAAACAAACTTTATTCGCATATTAGAAAGGAATGGAACTGACACTATGTAAAGCAGGCCTCCTCGAAAATACACTATATATGTATTGCTGTTGTTGGTATTTGTTGGTTGGTTTATTCCGTAGTGAAATTTCATTTATTGCTTTTTTTTTTAGACATAGATGAATGTGTCAGAGGTTTACATAATTGTAGTCTTAATGCCTATTGCAACAACACTAAAGGGTCTTACAAATGTACGTGTAAACCTGGATTCACTGGAAATGGACGAGAATGCAAAGGTAATCGCTTGGGTTAAATAAATACATATCTCAGTGGACGTCGTGGCATGTAGTATCGCCAAAGATACTTTTAAAATGAATCCTGAATATTATCTTGTATATTATACAAAGTAAGCGTTTGATTTTTCTTGGCCACTTTTGAAACCAAGTGCGCACTCACAGTTTAGAACAGATACCTGAGCATTAAAATCTCTGTGCGACTTCTTCAGGAAATAAAGAGGTAGTAGGCTCTTCGATTGCTTAAAGACGCTAAGGCTTATGTGAGCCACATTTAAAGTGGTAACTTGTTACAAGCATTAACGGCAATGCTTGATGGAAATCTTATAAGAGATACTACCCTCCCCCCTCCTCGAAAAAAAAGCAAAACGAAACAAAAAACAATAAAACAAAAAACAACAAAAACAACAACAACAACAAAAACAGCATCTGATAAAAACACTAACCATCAATCGAAAGGAACTCGTAAACCTTTTAATAAAAGATCCTTTTTAATTCTTCCTAGGAATTACTTCGTGTAAAGAGTTCTATGATAAGGGCAAGTAAGTAAAAACGGAAAGTGATTGAAGACACATTTTATTAAAATTAAACGCTAGCTAATTATAATGGACACTGCCTTCTTAGGAAAAAAAAGATTTACATGTATTTGCTCATTCATTCCTTTTCTTGCAATTGTTTCCTCTTATAACTCTATATATTCACTTATCTCTACTTGTTTTTATTTTATTGCGTATCTATTTATTCATTTCACATTTTTGACATTATAGTTGTCAAAGCTATTTTTCTCACTATTAGTCTTATTATCGCTATGATTGTTATCATCATCCTTATCTCCACAACTTTTTTATATGTTATTATACTTTTAATGCAGGAAGGCCAATATGAGCATTGTGGTTACTCTCCTTATTGATTCCCAACCAGTCCCCGTTCTTTGTCACCTAGGAAATTTTGGATGTGGAGATGGAGGATGGACGCCGGTTATGAAGATTGACGGCAGAAATGTGCATATTTTACAGTCCAAATTATTTTACACATGTTATTAATAAGTGAGCTGCTGAAAATATAACAGAGATGAAAACGAACTAGAGTTAGAGATTGGAAATATCCCTTTTTGACGGAAAATAAACGCCTTTTTCTAGTATCGAGGAGCGCCCCGATTATTCCGTTCTCCTCTGCAAATAAAACACACTTTTTAGACTAACACACTCTTTCCCTTCAGTAATGGTGATAAGTCGTCAATGCTTTGTAATCATAACGCATATTTACCAAAAATTCTGATCTAATTCAACTTCTACATCCTATGTAACAATAATTTTATGCTACATAATTTATCTGAATCAAGTCAATTGAACAATGCCACTATTTGAAGAAAAACCTCTCCATGAAGCGTGAAATAGATGTTTAATTTGTGGTTAATGTGACGAATGTCTTTGAAGAAATTAAAGAAGACGATTTTTCTTTTTTATTTCACTTCAGACAACCTTTCATTACAACAAACCTTACTGGAGTAATTACAGGGAATTTAACCCCACTGGGGGACAAACTGGTTTTGACGAACAGGAAACAAAGCTACCTACATACTGGAATACATCCTTCTCCCAGATCTGTCTCGGTATGAAAATCGATCAACAGCTCAGGTTCATTGTCATCAAGAAGCAGGCTGACTCTCTGTTCTCACTGATCGCTGACGGGAAATATCGCAATACATCACTGGGCCGCGACACGTGGAAGTCACTGATTGGCTCTAATGCCTCTTTGGAACGGAACTGTAACAAGGAAGGTTTCAGTGCTAATTGCGGTGGGAAAATAAGCTCGAAGGCCAGAATTGGCATTGTTAGCAACCGCAAAAACAATTGCTCCGCTTGCACTTCAAGGGTCGGATTTGGCACTGGAGGGTGGCCTCTTTACTCGATTTCGTGCGGTAACACAGCAAGATCCGCCGCAGGAAAAGGAAAATTGAGCATTACCGCCATTGGATACATCTTAGTGCATTAAAACAATAACAACACAAGACACGAATCAGTTTACTCGTCAAGATGCACCATAATTTTCAGCTCGAGCTTAGCTTTGTGTTGCAGGGTTGTTATAATTTTACCATAGTTTTCAAAAAAGGTCTTCGACATCTCGGGGTGCTAGCTTGGGTTGGGAACGAATCTAATACCTTCCCTGGTCCCACTGAAGAGACTTCTGGCTCGAATCTTACACCGACCTCACCTGTTTCCCGCTGACGCCATCGTCTGTATTTTTTCCACTCTATTAAGTCATACACACATCTAAATAATCCTTCCCCAGGATCCCACAGCTAGTCACTAATAGCACCAATCAGATGTTAAGTTCCAAAACGTAAAAGGAAAAAAAGAAGAAGAAAAACAAACAGTCAGATAGATACTTCAATCAGATAGAGAAGACTGAATAACTTCACAAGAGAGCAGACTTTACATCATCACTAAAGACCATCAGTAAAAAGTCTTAAGCTTAAGTTGATATCATCGATTATGTGGGCATATGATCAAGAATACCGTTTTCTTTTTGAAACTTAGTAAATCTACTTTAGAGCGAGCATTCTTCAATACTCTTTAATTCTCTTAGGACATATCAACATTCAGAAATATTAATCTACACAAACGAAACGAAAAAGGCGCAATAATTTCTCGTGTTTACCGCGTGGTTGATTCACCTTACTTGAATTGTTGTTTACTAGTATTTACCACCAGAAATTACCACCAGCGAGGCTTTGTGCTGAAAATTGTTCGATTTAAACCAAAATATTCCATAAAACAACACTTTTGGTAAATATTGACGCCTAAAAATAATATTTACCGTTCTAAAGAATTGTCTCCTACGTCGAAAAGCCTCATTGAAGTGAAAAAAGATCACTCTTCTTTTCCAGTCATTATTTGCATTGCGTTAGGGAATAACGTATCGTTAACTCTAGAGCTATTTGGTCGGTTCAAAGAGCTACAATCGCATTTTTCGAAAGTATTGTTTACCACAATTTCTTTTCGTTTTGAGCTCTAAAAGATCTTTCTGTTTGTGATGAAAAAAAAAAATTTAAACTTTTGAGCACTCGTGGCTAAACTCGACGGGAACTTGCAGTAGAAATGATCGAAACTGCACACGTCATGTTATAAATGCAATGCCGTGCGTACATAAAGATTTTTACAATCGAAGCTCCTTAGGAAATAGGCGTACTTGCGCCCGCGATATGTTATAATATCATGTTATATCGTCGACTAGGTTCAAATATCCGAGCAGAGCAAGAAAAAAGTGGTACTTTTCTCGATATAAGGTTGTTTTAGGAAATTTGGTCATCATTCTTAACGAAATAAGGGTAACGTGCATATGGAAAAAAGAGGGCGTGTAAACCTGTTAGACTCTTAAGACGGCGACATGAATGCTCGACTGTGAATTTCTCTCAGAACTAAAGATAATCTACAGAACTTGATTATAATACAGCAGTAGGACTGGTTTGCTTAACAATGGTACTGGTTGGTGTCCGGCAATTCCCGAAGAACTCAACGATATATCGCGGCCTGGCAATTGCGATATATCGCCGATATATCCAACTAAAATATCGCTCAAATTTCGGCGATAAATCGGGATTATCGCAATCATAGACGTACGCTGTGTCTCCTCACTGCTGCAGCTGCTCTGACTTAAAAACTAAGTCGACCTTCAAGAACGTTCACCTTAACAATACCAACCGACCAACAGTTATAAAACCAAATATTTACATAGGCAATCCTATAACCAATCAGTTCTATAAGGAGAAAACAGCTGAGTCATGGAAAAAGTTTTGACAGCCGTCGGTTTAAAATTGAGTTGAATTTGCATCTTGGCATATTACTGACAGATTACAGCCGAATTTCGATTGTCTAGAAGATAGTCTGATTTGGGAAACGATTATTTATTTAAGACGTCGCATCTAAGGCACACACTGAAATGATCCAAAACATTTACGAGCTTTGTAGTCAGTGCTCGACACAAGAGAATTCCTCCAGACAAACTCTGTATAATGTATTTTTTTTCTATCTGCCTTCTTTCTTTGGAACTCTGTTTATAGTTACCAGGGCAGTCAGATCACAAGGTTTGCTTCAGTATAACCCATTAATCATAGCAAGAAATTATTCATTTGTACAAAAGATAGTACTTTAGCTGACTCTTCCCCTCTAGTTTCGAGTGAGTTATTATAATTATAATCCTGTAAAAAGGATTTTCCGAAAAATGTTGAAAATTCCTGATTATGACCCAATAAGTAGACATCTAAAGCCACGTACAAACAAAATAGTGATAAATTTGAACTTATTTTCAATTAGGTAAAACGTAAAATATGTATTCCATTTTCGTGGTGTTAATAGCGTTAGTAGCAGCGTTTTGTGAAGTAAATGTGATTTAAATCTAAAAACCGTCACTTTTTTTCTTCGTTGAACTTTCTTTTCCCGTTTGTGCCAACCAATAATGCTTTCCAAATAACGAACGAATAATTATGCAATGAAATCCATTGCTCTCCAATGCTCCAAATTGGAGAGGGCAAAAGTTTGGCAGGCATAATCAAGATTTATGGATTGATTTCAAACAGTACTCGGACGAGGAACACATTTGATACATAAAACACCTTGTAATTATAATTATATCGCTCGAATATAGATCTCAAGTTGTTGTAACATTTTTTGGTATTTAAGGTAATATATTTAATTGAATGTCTATTCATAATTCTCAGACGTCGGCGTCGCAGACCAGTCTCGTACTTTGGAGTTCAGGCTTGAAAAACTGTTTTACGGCAAACGCCTCATGAATCACCACGTGATTCGCATAACTGCAGTAATGGTGAAGGAGTTTTGTGAAATCTTGTGTTATATTGAACCCGATTGTGTCAGTATTAATATTGATAAACGAGAGGATGGACATGGAGTGTACAAATGTGAACTAAATAATGTTACCCACGAAGGATACGAACAAGAGTTGGTGGACGATGAAAATTATTTTTATCATGCATCTAAGGTAGATTTCTCTCTAAATTAGCTCGTTCAATGGTATTTATTTTTTTTCAATGTTTCCTCTAACATTTTTCATATGAATATTTTACCATGATAACATGTGGTTTTGCATTAATAGTGAATAACAAGTTATTGTTACATGCGAAACGACAGCTTTAACTTCTTTGTTTTAAGAGATCTGATGCCTTTGTCGTGTTTTAATTTGATCTTCAGGCATTCAGTGATTTACTGAAAGAAATTATAATGACGAAAGAATTCATGGGAAATGGTAATCATAACGGCGATGACGGTGATGATGACTGCGACATTAACAGTGAAGGAGATGTTAAAAAGTGTTTATAATTTCTTTTGTCAGAACAATTGTGTTCAAAATCCTTGCAAGAGCAACGCTACTTGTCAAAGCGGATTTACTGAAAAAGGTTAACGGTGCCTGTGTCCGGCTGGATTTAAGGATCCTTATTGTGGAACAGGTGGACAAGAAAAGAATTTTGTGTTTTTCTTAAGAGCTTCCTTTTAACACCTATGATGAAAGAATTGTAATTTTTTTAAAGAGGCTCCCTAGGGTTTTTGCTCAATTTTGGCGCGCGCGTCATCGTTTTGTTTTTCTAGAAAATGTTTATGTTTTCGCTTTTCTAGGTCACTAAAAACCATCAAAAGGGCGATGAGCAAGGTTCGGACTACCGTTTGCTGTAGTAAATATTATGAAAATGATTTTCGTTATTAAGCTAAGGCTCCACGAAGGGAGGCGTTCGCCAATGATAATTTGGCTTTGCCCTTGATTTTCTTCAATATGCTTCGATGAAATTTCTCAAAAGTTTCCCGCCGATCATTTAAAAGCCGAAAAAATAGGAGTTACAGAGTCGGTTTCCTCACTTTGGCAATTTTGTGTTTTCTTCCTCTTTCTCAAGTTTGGTGTTATGAATTTTGTTTTGTTTTATTTTGTCTTTTTTTTTATCAACAGGCACTAGGAAGGGCACAAATACGTTTAACGGTCCAGCAAATCTAGGGAATTCCACTGAAGGAAATGCGATAAATCATTCTCGAAAGACCCTTATTTTCTTTGCCGCAAAACATTACGTAATGGAATAAAACCTCGCTAAGATCTATATCTGAGCATACGTAAACTTTCGAATCTGTCGCGATCTGTCGCCTTTTAGCAATCTTTCCTCCCACAATGTTCTCTTTTCGTTCGACCTGTTTTTCACATAGAAACTGTATTGTGTTAAACTGTTTTTAACACACTTTTTCAGATAACAATCAGGTGATCGTATCGAGCCGCCATGTTTGTTTTGCATGTTGACACTTGGAAAGCTCGCGCTAAATTCGTACCCAGATCTCCCGCTGTCAAAAACCATATGGAGCCTCCTTAAATGGTCGTTTAACTTTTTGATCTTTAAAACAACTTCGATTGTCTCACATCTTCACCAATGATAACAACACTTCAAGAGAACTGCTTCAGTTTACAACTGACTAGCAAAAAACCATGTACAACTGTTCAACCATTGGCAAACATACATTTAATTGTGCCACAAAAAAGTAAAGTACTCGATACAGAGGAAATAGACAAATGGCAAGTAGGCAAAACTACGTTCTCTAATTTATGACAACAAATAACAGAGTTTATGGCTTAAGAGGAGGCCGCCTGAGAAGCATATATGATGTTGTAGCTGTTGCTGATGTGTTTGTTGCTGTTGTTTGACTCCATTGACAGACATCGATGAATGTGCCTCAGGGTTACACAGATGCAGTTCGATGGCATATTGCATCAATATGAAAGGCTCGTACCACTTTACATGTAAGCCTAGACTTTATGGAAATGGCCGAGAATGCAAAAATAAATGTTTCGGTCGAGAAATCATAATAGAAATCATTATTAGGTCTTTTCCCATTGAAGAGATCGCACTTGGCTTAAGATGGTGCTTTCTAATGTGGTCGTTGCTGCCGTTTCTTTCCATTAATTCCATTCCTCCTACGGAGGACTTTTAGCCGGGTGGTATAGAAATGCAAATAGTTTTAGGTGGTAATATAAAGTCAAGGGGATTTTTCTTTTCTGCTTCTTTTTTGTTTGTTTGTTTGTTTTTTTGGTTTGTTTTTTTTCCTTTTCTCTCTTTTGGTTTGTTTCTGTGTTCCTGAAAACGCTGTTCGCAAACCAAATGGGCAGAGTGATCTATCAACGCCGCTTAACCGTAAACTTATGATAGTCGCCTTTGAAATAAAACTTTAACCAGGCTTGAAATCCCAACTGGATTAAAATTTTGTTACTAACCTGGACGACCTAAACGGAATTATAGCAGGAAGGCCGTTAAAAAATAATCGACAAGTCTTAGAGTCAATCTAATAGTGTAATAAATAGAGTAGACTAAAATTCTACAGAGGTAAGTTTTAAATTCTACTAGATAAAAATTGCAGGAGCTTTGACTTGTA